GATAGAGGGCGCTATATAGTAATAAAATAATGAAGTTATTGCGATTGATTTAAAAGTGGTATTCTAATGTATTGCTAGTTTGTTTGATTGTTTGTATGATATTTGTATTTTAAAGGTATGTAATGTATTGATTATTGTATACACTTGTTAAGTTTACAGTAAAGTCATAATGCATAATGGTTTTTAGAATTGATGTTATGCAAACACTTCAAGTGCATTTTAAATGGAAAACAAATGGTTGGTGTTTAGATGTATAGTGGTAGCCCATACACAACTTGTACTTTAAGAGTAAGTAGGGAATGATATTTTGTAATGTATTTATGTCATGTATTGGTTATTGTAACTTTTTATTATTTTTTGAAAAATTAGCACTGAAGAGGGGTTGGATGAGTATACCAACCCGAAATGCATATGTCATTTTTTAGAGAATAAAAGTGAGTTCCTAACTAAAAGTTTTGCTGTGAGTCCGTCTACCAAAAACGTTTTGGATTACAGAGACGAATTATATACATAGTAACATACAGCAGTCCAGATACAGAATAGAAATTTCAAGTTTTATTTATTTACTTGACTTTTATTTTTATTTTCTATTATAAGAATTAATTTTAATTTTTAATATTACAATGGTATAATGTTAGAAATCATTGTTACATACAATAAAATGAAATTTTTAACTGATAAATCAGTAAGATCTAGGCTACCTTATGAAATATCACAATTATCTATTCCTTTGTATAAATAAATATATATGCTTTTGCCATAGGCTACGATATTTAATTAATATGTATATATTACTATACATTGATACATCTACAATATGGCATTTCAGTTCTGGCCTATTAATAGGCTACAGCAGGGGTGGCCAAAACGTGGTGCATGTGCCAAACTTGGCGCATTGGACGATTACAAGTGGCGTTTCAATTATATCTGAGCAAAATTGCCAGATTTGACTTTTTTGCGATTAAGAATATTATATAGAAAAATAAATTTTTTAGTCTGTCTTGGCAAGTTCATTTGTTGCACAATTCGTTACAGTCTATTTTGCAGATAAAATAAGTGTTCTCCACATAGTAAATTACAGTGTATGCATGTATTGTGAGTCTTGNTCTTGTCGCGAAACGACGTTATAGGAGGTATTTTATACGAATGTTGCTACAATTTTTTCGCTACGTTATAGGAATTGTCGTTATAGGAACGCACGTTATAGGGGGGTCGACTGTATAATGTTTATGTCTAACTGTCAGTCTTTTTAATATTTGTTTCTATCATCAGAAACTGATGATAATCTTATCTACACCATAACTATACATAACTATAATGTTTAGTATAAAATAAAACTTTCTAAATCATATTTAAATTTACCCAGTCTACCTTAGTTAATTTTTATGTAACACAAAGCTAAAATACAATAATTATTTTAAAATTACAAAATATATTAAAATCTATAACAACTTACTCTTTTTCCTTCACCATAAACTAAAGGAAATTTCAAATCATCAACTGTAATTATTTTATATGCCCTGAAAATACAGTTAAAGTTTACTTAAAGTTTATCATATGAATTAATATATAAAAATTTTTGTATCTGATAGCAGAATTCTGTTAACTTTAAAATAATTATCAAATAGCTTTGAAAAATTCTCTGCCATATTTTATTCTTTTATATTAACAAGTAAGATCAGAAAAGATAATATTTGAAATTAACACTAATTACAAAAAGGAAATAAAATTTACAACAGGAAAATAAACTAAATTTAAAATTTTTCAAATGCAAATTTTTAAAATCTACCTTAAATTTTATTATTTCAATTATAAAAATCCAAAAACTGACAACCCTGAAGATTCTATACCGTACAGACCAATCATTGTGTCTTCCAAGAGGCTACAAAATACTTACATTGTGCATCACAAACAAAATATATGAGCATATTAAACAACAGGTATTTATACAGAACAACAAAACACTGGTAGAAATCACATGGGACATGAAGAACAGCCACTCATGGATTCAGTTATTCTATGACAGACAAACAAACAAAAACAGTTTTTGCAGTTGTTATGCAAACTATAGAATATGAAAAATAACTAATTTCTTTCCAGAAAACACAATGCAACAGTGGAGACCAACTCAGACTTTATGACACATACTACAAACACTAAAATAAACAAATTAAATATAAGGCAAGAAATTTTCAAAAATATATTTCTTAAGTCCATTCTAGTTCTGTCTGGCCTAAACCCATTGTGCAATAGGTTAAACAACAGAAAATACAGATATATCATCAAACACAACAAAAAACAATACATACAGTATCATCCCATCTCATGTAGATGGATAACATAATAATATACAGTAAGACGCCGCTTAACAAGGGGGATGCATTCCTAGACGACAAAGCACTAAGCAAAACAGCATTAAACGAAGTCATTTTAACAGAGTAAATAGGGAAAGGGTAACAGAGTAAATAGGGAAAGGGTAACAGAGTAAATAGGGAAAACTCAACCAAAAATAAACAGATTTTACTTTAATTTTAAGTTGTATTTATATTAATTTGCATAACAATATATGTTAAATAACACACAAACATATGCACACAGAAATGTAAGTTCATTTTTTGTGACAAAGGTCCTGGCTTTTCTAAAATTCTTGTTTTTGCGATAAAGTCATATAGTTTCATTTTTCACTTTTTTCTTTTCTTAAGCAAATGTTAGTGGCAAGAGATCACATCCAAAACACCTCATCTTGCTTTTGCACTCCTTTCAAAATCTGAATCATTCCCTACAATTTGATCAACGATTTCTGTTATCCTTACCAAACTTTTACTAAGGAAATCTGTAGAGAAATTCTCTGGGTTCTTCATTTTCAGAATCACTGTTTTCCAGTTCTACCTGAATTCCTTGTTCTGCCAGTTCTTGAAGGTCGTAGTTGGTAAGGCTCTCACCAGAAACCTGCAGTAACTCCCCAATATCCTGCTCGTCTACATCCCCTAGTGTTGCTGTATCGATTAGGTTGACAATTTGGTCAACCTAACAATACAGCAATAGGCTCTTCTCATTGAGAATTCTTGAATACTTTCAGCCATAACTTCTTCCACATTTCATTCATGCATTTATCAGTTAGTTCTTGCCAAGTGAAGTTGATATTGCCTATGGCATCCATGATGCTATATTTTTTCCAAAACTGCACAAAACAAACATAGATTTAAGGGAAGTACCGTGCTATGATGAATTGCCACTTTTTTTCATAAATAATTGTATTATATATGAATTGATGAAAAGCCGTAATAATTTGAATCGGTGTAAATTTTGAGTTTTTTTTTTTTTTAAGGTTTTGAGCAGACTGCGTTATATTTGATATAACACAGATATAAAGAGTTAAATGAGGCAGCGTTAAGCGGAATCTTACTGTACATAAATAAAAAATAATTAAAATTGCCTATTATGCACATTTATGCACTGAAATACAAATGAAGTTTGGCCTAGACAAATGAAAAACACTTCACATAGAAAAAGGAATCCCAAAGAAGAATAATTTTGCACTTGAAAATGGAGGCATCATTAAATCCATTGATGAGGGCAGTCTACAAATATTTAAGATTCCAAGAGACAAAGTTCACAGAACATGCACAAATAAAACAAACTAACAAAGCAATATAACAAATTAAATTCAGTACTAACTACAAAAATTGATGCAAAGCACACATTTAAAACAATAAACACGTGTTGTCCCAATACTCATACATTCACTTGGAGTTGCACATTAAACATATAAGTATACCTTGCCTTACGTCAGTAATTGGTTCCAGGAGAGGCGACTTAAGTCGAATTTACTTGTCACTAGGCTAAACCACAAATAACCATTCCCAGTTCTGTATTTTATTTATAAATACATTTTTAATAATATTTGGTTAATAAGAATCTATTTTAAGCTTAAAAACAAATACATTTTAGTTTTTAATATAGTAGAGAAAAAAGTAATCTAAATTTATGAAGACATGTATGGTACGTAATGTACATACTTGCAAATATACATGTTTACAATTTGGTGATGACTCTTTATTTGTGAATGTGATTTGCTCTAAGACATTATAAAATATGATGATTTTGTAAGGTTAAATAACAAATACAGTTATTAAAATTATTTTGCGATAGTAAAAAATAAACTAATTTATGTTAAATTTACCAATATTGAGTGGCACTGACGACGATGCCAAACAGTAGATATTGGAACTTACCATGGAAAATGCCAATATTGAGCTCTTAAAGACTGCTAAATAAGACAACACTAAGTCATACATGTTTTCACATTTTAATATGATTTTATGTGCTTTTCATACTTTTCTAGTGATATTACAACTTCAATATTTGTGACGAACAGACATAAAGTCGAATAAAATGACTTAAACCTGACTTTTATTTTTCCATATATTTTTTTTTGACAAACGACATAATTCAAGGTATACCTGTACACAGAATTAAAACAACTCAAAAGAAAGCATGAACAATATTAACAAAGCACAGAAAGCATCATTCTAAACCCTTTATAAAATGATTAAAATTTAAATTCCTTAATAAAGAGAGAGAATAAAGTCTCACAGATATAAATCTTCACATATAACAAATACAGACACTACAACAATACTTCTACAAAAATAAAAACTATCACAATTACATAAAACTGCAAATCTCACCGTCAAAAAACATACATTATTAAACCTACATATAACTGATCTGATTATAGCACAGTCACAAGCAATTTTTGGCCTGGAAAGCATATCACAGATGACATCCAACCACAAAAAACCACAGATAGCACATCTTAAAAGACATAATACTTATACTATGTTTGCACACAATCCACAACTCACTTCAATCTCGATTTATCTACAATCTGGATTGTGACTGTCACCAGTCGAACGTCGTGCTGTTCACGCAGGCAGTCCATTTGAGAAGAACCCAGGTATTACATGCAATGACAAAACTGATGTGGTAAGTCACGAACACCAACAAACAAAATGAAAGTTTTGGTTAGAAATAAATACTTTTTCTTGCCATACATCTAATAACAGACAGATGTCATCGTCTCTTCAGATGTCTTTTTTTATTTCTCTGTTGGTAGCCCAACACATGTTCTGCAGCCATCTTGTATTTTCTCGCACGCGTAGGATTGTTCCCACGCGTGCGAGAAAATACTGCGTGAGATCTCTCTTATGACTGGATCTAGTTTCGAGAACTCTCGAGTCGATCACAATTGAATCTCGTTTCAGTCAATGAAGAATGAAACGGTTGAGAGAGGTTGCACCACAGCATAGTCACCAACCTTGGTCACAATCTAGATCAAAATGCTCGGTGCGAACGGAATATTAGAAATGATAGTTGTATGAAATACTACATCATGCCAAAACTATACAAAATATCACGTACAACCTATTTATACCAATATAACTAAATAACAAACAAAAGCTTGACAAAAACATGAAATGAAATGCTTCTGCTACAAGCAAATTATTACACATCTAGCTAGTAAATACATATTACAATCTTAGAGAGCAAAACACAAAATATACTGACTGAGCTATAATCAAATACAAAACAATCCGTTACAACATACCAGACATCACATTGACTAACAAAACAAAATCACATACATCATATACATAGTTGTACCATTCACAATATACAAAATATACATACACTGAAAAAATTAATAAATATTCAGAACTTGTCTATGAAATAAAATACCAGTGAAGAATAGTTAAAGTACTTATTATGCAGTAAATGTTATAAGATGCCTAAGCATGTTCTAAATGTTTTTAGATTTTTGTGCAGTAAATGTTATAAGATGCCTAAGCATCTTATAACATTTACTGCACAAAAATCTAAAAACATTTAGAACATGCTTAGGCATCTTATAACATTTACTGCATAATAAGTACTTTAACTATTCTTCACTGGTATTTTATTTCATAGACAAGTTCTGAATATTTATTAATTTTTTCAGTGTATGTATATTTTGTATATTGTGAATGGTACAACTATGTATATGATGTATGTGATTTTGTTTTGTTAGTCAATGTGATGTCTGGTATGTTGTAACGGATTGTTTTGTATTTGATTATAGCTCAGTCAGTATATTTTGTGTTTTGCTCTCTAAGATTGTAATATGTATTTACTAGCTAGATGTGTAATAATTTGCTTGTAGCAGAAGCATTTCATTTCATGTTTTTGTCAAGCTTTTGTTTGTTATTTAGTTATATTGGTATAAATAGGTTGTACGTGATATTTTGTATAGTTTTGGCATGATGTAGTATTTCATACAACTATCATTTCTAATATTCCGTTCGCACCGAGCATTTTGATCTAGATTGTGACCAAGGTTGGTGACTATGCTGTGGTGCAACCTCTCTCAACCGTTTCATTCTTCATTGACTGAAACGAGATTCAATTGTGATCGACTCGAGAGTTCTCGAAACTAGATCCAGTCATAAGAGAGATCTCACGCAGTATTTTCTCGCACGCGTGGGAACAATCCTACGCGTGCGAGAAAATACAAGATGGCTGCAGAACATGTGTTGGGCTACCAACAGAGAAATAAAAAAAGACATCTGAAGAGACGATGACATCTGTCTGTTATTAGATGTATGGCAAGAAAAAGTATTTATTTCTAACCAAAACTTTCATTTTGTTTGTTGGTGTTCGTGACTTACCACATCAGTTTTGTCATTGCATGTAATACCTGGGTTCTTCTCAAATGGACTGCCTGCGTGAACAGCACGACGTTCGACTGGTGACAGTCACAATCCAGATTGTAGATAAATCGAGATTGAAGTGAGTTGTGGATTGTGTGCAAACATAGTATAAGTATTATGTCTTTTAAGATGTGCTATCTGTGGTTTTTTGTGGTTGGATGTCATCTGTGATATGCTTTCCAGGCCAAAAATTGCTTGTGACTGTGCTATAATCAGATCAGTTATATGTAGGTTTAATAATGTATGTTTTTTGACGGTGAGATTTGCAGTTTTATGTAATTGTGATAGTTTTTATTTTTGTAGAAGTATTGTTGTAGTGTCTGTATTTGTTATATGTGAAGATTTATATCTGTGAGACTTTATTCTCTCTCTTTATTAAGGAATTTAAATTTTAATCATTTTATAAAGGGTTTAGAATGATGCTTTCTGTGCTTTGTTAATATTGTTCATGCTTTCTTTTGAGTTGTTTTAATTCTGTGTACAGGTATACCTTGAATTATGTCGTTTGTCAAAAAAAAATATATGGAAAAATAAAAGTCAGGTTTAAGTCATTTTATTCGACTTTATGTCTGTTCGTCACAAATATTGAAGTTGTAATATCACTAGAAAAGTATGAAAAGCACATAAAATCATATTAAAATGTGAAAACATGTATGACTTAGTGTTGTCTTATTTAGCAGTCTTTAAGAGCTCAATATTGGCATTTTCCATGGTAAGTTCCAATATCTACTGTTTGGCATCGTCGTCAGTGCCACTCAATATTGGTAAATTTAACATAAATTAGTTTATTTTTTACTATCGCAAAATAATTTTAATAACTGTATTTGTTATTTAACCTTACAAAATCATCATATTTTATAATGTCTTAGAGCAAATCACATTCACAAATAAAGAGTCATCACCAAATTGTAAACATGTATATTTGCAAGTATGTACATTACGTACCATACATGTCTTCATAAATTTAGATTACTTTTTTCTCTACTATATTAAAAACTAAAATGTATTTGTTTTTAAGCTTAAAATAGATTCTTATTAACCAAATATTATTAAAAATGTATTTATAAATAAAATACAGAACTGGGAATGGTTATTTGTGGTTTAGCCTAGTGACAAGTAAATTCGACTTAAGTCGCCTCTCCTGGAACCAATTACTGACGTAAGGCAAGGTATACTTATATGTTTAATGTGCAACTCCAAGTGAATGTATGAGTATTGGGACAACACGTGTTTATTGTTTTAAATGTGTGCTTTGCATCAATTTTTGTAGTTAGTACTGAATTTAATTTGTTATATTGCTTTGTTAGTTTGTTTTATTTGTGCATGTTCTGTGAACTTTGTCTCTTGGAATCTTAAATATTTGTAGACTGCCCTCATCAATGGATTTAATGATGCCTCCATTTTCAAGTGCAAAATTATTCTTCTTTGGGATTCCTTTTTCTATGTGAAGTGTTTTTCATTTGTCTAGGCCAAACTTCATTTGTATTTCAGTGCATAAATGTGCATAATAGGCAATTTTAATTATTTTTTATTTATGTACAGTAAGATTCCGCTTAACGCTGCCTCATTTAACTCTTTATATCTGTGTTATATCAAATATAACGCAGTCTGCTCAAAACCTTAAAAAAAAAAAAAACTCAAAATTTACACCGATTCAAATTATTACGGCTTTTCATCAATTCATATATAATACAATTATTTATGAAAAAAAGTGGCAATTCATCATAGCACGGTACTTCCCTTAAATCTATGTTTGTTTTGTGCAGTTTTGGAAAAAATATAGCATCATGGATGCCATAGGCAATATCAACTTCACTTGGCAAGAACTAACTGATAAATGCATGAATGAAATGTGGAAGAAGTTATGGCTGAAAGTATTCAAGAATTCTCAATGAGAAGAGCCTATTGCTGTATTGTTAGGTTGACCAAATTGTCAACCTAATCGATACAGCAACACTAGGGGATGTAGACGAGCAGGATATTGGGGAGTTACTGCAGGTTTCTGGTGAGAGCCTTACCAACTACGACCTTCAAGAACTGGCAGAACAAGGAATTCAGGTAGAACTGGAAAACAGTGATTCTGAAAATGAAGAACCCAGAGAATTTCTCTACAGATTTCCTTAGTAAAAGTTTGGTAAGGATAACAGAAATCGTTGATCAAATTGTAGGGAATGATTCAGATTTTGAAAGGAGTGCAAAAGCAAGATGAGGTGTTTTGGATGTGATCTCTTGCCACTAACATTTGCTTAAGAAAAGAAAAAAGTGAAAAATGAAACTATATGACTTTATCGCAAAAACAAGAATTTTAGAAAAGCCAGGACCTTTGTCACAAAAAATGAACTTACATTTCTGTGTGCATATGTTTGTGTGTTATTTAACATATATTGTTATGCAAATTAATATAAATACAACTTAAAATTAAAGTAAAANCTGCGTAATTAAGTTATTCCCTTTTCTCCCCTAAGCGAAGCAGATTTATTCTTATCTCTATTTATCAACCCCTAACATTGAACGTAAGACTGTATAAAAAGTGTTCGATTTATATGGTGCATCTGAACTCGTCTGTCAGAAAATTGGCGCATTGTATGCAAAAGGTTGGCCACCCCTGGGCTACAGTATATCTGAGAGTCAACCTGTATGAGAGGTATAAATCTAAACTGGTGGAATTTTGAAATCAACTTATTTACCAACATACACAATAATTTTAAATAATATATATTTTAGCAAACCAATATTTTAATAAAATAAAAATTTACAAAAATTGTTACAAAGTGAAAATACGCAATGTATTCTAATTACATAATCAATTTGAACTTTTAAAAAACTTTCTATTTTTACTAGCCGTTTGTTTGATATCGTTTGTACCTGAAGATGTCTATTTCACATAAACGAAAACGTTAGTAAATTTTTCATTTTCTTTTCATATGCTGGTGTTGGTTTTGTGAGTGGTGTAGTGAAAATAAACATTGTTTGAACCAAATAACCCTAGTTGCTGCCAACATGTTTCTGCAACACCAAGTTTCACATTAATTTATTTTTATCTGAATGATACCACAAAAGATATCTATCTTTTATGGGTTGGGTTTAGTATTATTTTATAGGACTTTTTTAATATCACTTATAAGTGGAAATAAAAGGATGGTTTACTAAAGTCTGTTATTGTCCTTTGTGAGAAATTATATGATGTTAGAAATCAAGATAAGAAGAAACTTTGGATCAGCATTTAACTTTCACATTGATATTTTTCAATTTATAATAAAAAAGCATTACATAAATTTGCATAAAGTGGGAACCATATATGTTACTGTAATAACAGTGGTTCAAGACAACAAAGCTTAATAATAAAGCTCTTAATAACAATTTTAAAGAAAACATTTTTAAAAAAATATCATCACAGTCTACAAATGCAGGTAGTTTTATCATAAACCTTTCAATTAATTGATATATATTATATTATATAAATAAAGTAATCAAAAAATAACTTTACAAAGTCATTAATAAAGATAAATACTTTTATTGTAAAAATGAAAACATACAGGTTTTATTGATAAGCAATATGCCATTACTCAACAAAATCATGTAATGCAACCTGTTCAGACTTTTATTGTAATGTGTATCAAAATTTGTTCATCCTATCCATTAAAAACAAAATTAATGATAGCTTTCACTTCATCAACAGTGAAATGGTAACTACATGCATCCCTTCAAATGAAGGAAAACAAAACAGTCAGGAGCCAGTTCCAGGCTGTATGGCAGATGATGATGACACTCCTATTGAACTATTTGCAGCAAACCCACAGTATTTCATGCCATATGCAGTCTGTGTTGTCCTGTGATACCTTGACAGTATACAGCACTATTCTCATATACCTGTAAAAGCTTACAATGGATTTCAACAAATGGAACCATTTTGGCCTCCAAAAATCAAATAACTGTTTGAACTTATTCACAAAACCACGTTTTTAATCATGTCATCATTTTGAAATGCTACATTACAACTGTCCCACAATCATGCATGATTACATTTTATCTGCATCAAACTTATACTAGTGCTTCAGTTTTTAAACTGTGAACATTGTAAAGTTACATTTTGATCACCTATTTAGATATATTATATTTTTGTTCTTAAAAGTTCTGAAATAAATAGCTTACCAATTTTTTTATTCTCTCTTTTTCAGTTTCTGGTGTAAAATCAGCTGACATTGGAATTACCTTATTTCCTTGACATATCACAGATCTGAAAAATTTCATTTATAAATTATAGATCTTGTTTCATATCATCATAAATTAAATATTTAAAATTCATTTATTTCACAACATAAAATGTAATAAATTCCAAAAATTAATTTTATTAGTAGTTTTCATTAAAAAATTAAATTGAAAACAAAAACCATATTAATCATATTTTATAATTGTTAAATTATTATTTAGTATAATAAATTTTGAATTGAAGGCTTATATAAATTTAAGAAACTCACAAAAAAACTAAAACTAACACAATAAATCAGGTATGTATAATCTTTCCATCAGCCTGCACTTGATCCAATAATGCTTCTTGTATAACCCATGAAACCCCCTCCAGTTGATTTCAAAAAATTTTAACAGTTATTAAAAAAACTTTTTTGTACATAGTTAATAGTTATTCTAACCATTAGAATAACTGTTATTACCTTCTTCAAGTAAGTTAATTCATTTAAACAATTTAAGCATTACATCCAATTCTCTGACTTTGTGAAAGCAAGTTGAGTTATGTAAACTCAACTTGCATTCCGTCTTATCTTACATTTCATTTATACTCAGGATTCAATGAAATTAGTGTAAAAGCAAATTTCAAAACAAAAAAAAAAATTGGCATCTTTCATTAGCATTGAAAAAATATAATAAAATTACAAACAAATGTAAAATTTAATATGTATGTATATCACCAATAAGGTAGACACAGTTCACCAATCAGATGGATACAAGAGTTAAATGTCAATAACAAAGAAACCATAATTTTCAAATCAAAAATTAAAAAAACTAAAATTTGTAAATCCACTGTTATAGTTTTCCAATAAAGTACATGTTGTAATTTGTATTATTAATTATTAAGTTACTATGCATATGTAGCTAGAACTATTTCTAAGATTATCAGCACAAAACCTTTCTCACTAATTTCTAGCCGTATTAACAGGAGTACAAACGTTTTCGGCCTTCTTAATAGGCCTTCCTCAGGTACACTGGAGCGTCGGTTAGAAGAAGTTTAAATGCTACCAATGTTCACCCAGGTATCGTCTTACCAGTGACGTCATCGTCGATGATAGGTATAGACGATACCAAGGGCAAAGAATATACTATCTGCACACCTCCCTTCTTTACTTTTGGTAAAGAAGGGAGGTGTGCAGATAGGATACTCGCTAAAGTTGGGGGAAAATTTTTTAAATAAGCACGCTACGTACAGGAGATGCACAATCACTACAGGGGGTTAGTGGGGAGTGACATCATAGTTGAGGCCGTAAATATTCAATGATACAGTAAGAAGAGGTGTGCGAACGACCGTGGATGGGAAGGGGGTTACGATTGGAAGGCAGAATGGGAAATAAACGCGACAAGTAAAAAACGAGCGCTAACGGTTGCACGCGGTGAGGGTGGAATGGTCTATTTATTTCAAGGGGTTGTCGAAGAATGATTTCCAAGCGGAGGAGAGCGAGTCCGCATCTCTGCTGTTGATATAACCGTCTTTGAGGGATTGCTTAAATATTTCAATTGTCTCGACTGTTCTTAGCTTGGTGTGGTCGTGCATAGGAATAGGAACTATGACGTCACTCCCCACTAACTCCCTGTAGTAATTGTGCATCTCCTGTATGTAGCGCGCTTATTTTAAAAATTTTCCCCCCAACTTTAGCAAGTATCCTATCTGCACACCTCCCTTCTTTACCAAAAGTATGTTATTTTTTCCCCCAACTTTAGCAAGTATCCTATCTGCACACCTCCCTTCTTTACCAAAAGTATGTATTCTTCGCCCTCGGTATCGTCTATACCTATCATCGACGATGGCGTCACTGGTAAGACGATACCTGGGTGAACATTGGCAGCATTTAAACTTCTTCTAACCGACGCTCCAGTGTACCCGAGGAAGGCCTATTAAGAAGGCTGAAAATGTTTGTACTCCTGTTAATACGGCTAGAAATTAGTGAGAAAGGTTTTGTGCTGATAATTATTAAGCACAAAATTATTGTATTATTTTGTATTACTGTAAATTGTATTATTAAGTAAATGTATTAAAACCAGTTTTACAATTTTTCTAAAACATATTCATTCAATTCTGTAACTTTTAAAATTATACACACAGGCTTCTGCATTTTTTAGAATTATTTTATGCTTCCTTGTATATGTAATATAATTAAAAGTTATATGACATAAAGGATGAGACAAAAAAAAAATACATTTCATAACAAAAATTTTACCTGCTGTCTCCAGCATTAGCAACATATAATTTTCCAAGAATAAAAAGTGCAACGATTGCAGTACAACCTCCAGTCATTTTATAACACTGTTTGTCTCTAGCAATCAACTCATCCTATAAAATGTAAAAGAACTTATTAATAAAAAATGTATAAAGTAACAAAATTTCAATACAATAAAATAAAAAAATTTAATGAAAGTTTTCCACCCATAGAAACAACAGAAACAAATAATATTTCTATAACAAAAAAAGTAAATTCAGAATTAATATTTATAAATAAAATTCCAAATTCCTGACACCAATTTGAGAGTCAATTGCTTGGCTCTTGTTTGCTGTAGAGAACTCTTAGTCCAGACAGACATTCTAGTGAAAATGAAAGCAAAGTGCAATAAGTAATTTATTTTCTCATAGCAAGTCAAATTTGATTCTCACAACCATTTCACAAAACAAAAACTGCAAAATGAGCAATCATGCAAGCATTCTTAAAACAAAATGGCAACTGATAACAGCAAATTGTATTTTATGCTTGTTTCATCCATTTATTTAACAAAAAGAAACCTTAAAAATTAATTATAATTATAAGAATATAATTAGAAAGTATATTCTTCATAGCTGTCATGTTTAAGTCATTTTATTTCTTATCTCTAGAAATTTATTATTCTGATTAGCAGCAAATATTTTTGCTAATGGAACATTTCAATATGTTAATCACTTGCCATATGGATGGTTTTTAAGGAATTTTTAATTAAACATAAAAAATTCTTAAAACTGAAAAAAAAACGAAAGAAATGCGTTAATTTTGAAGAAAAAGCTTTGAACTTTATTTTCCATTGTCTCGCCTTTCTGCGAAATTTGACACTGATGAGTCATTGTTTACACAGCTAGATGACCTTGAAAACATCTGGTGTCGGATCTCCCGGGACATTCTCATAGACGTCTCAGGAGGACAAGGGTTTAAAGTGGNTATAAATACATTTTTAATAATATTTGGTTAATAAGAATCTATTTTAAGCTTAAAAACAAATACATTTTAGTTTTTAATATAGTAGAGAAAAAAGTAATCTAAATTTATGAAGACATGTATGGTACGTAATGTACATACTTGCAAATATACATGTTTACAATTTGGTGATGACTCTTTATTTGTGAATGTGATTTGCTCTAAGACATTATAAAATATGATGATTTTGTAAGGTTAAATAACAAATACAGTTATTAAAATTATTTTGCGATAGTAAAAAATAAACTAATTTATGTTAAATTTACCAATATTGAGTGGCACTGACGACGATGCCAAACAGTAGATATTGGAACTTACCATGGAAAATGCCAATATTGAGCTCTTAAAGACTGCTAAATAAGACAACACTAAGTCATACATGTTTTCACATTTTAATATGATTTTATGTGCTTTTCATACTTTTCTAGTGATATTACAACTTCAATATTTGTGACGAACAGACATAAAGTCGAATAAAATGACTTAAACCTGACTTTTATTTTTCCATATATTTTTTTTTGACAAACGACATAATTCAAGGTATACCTGTACACAGAATTAAAACAACTCAAAAGAAAGCATGAACAATATTAACAAAGCACAGAAAGCATCATTCTAAACCCTTTATAAAATGATTAAAATTTAAATTCCTTAATAAAGAGAGAGAATAAAGTCTCACAGATATAAATCTTCACATATAACAAATACAGACACTACAACAATACTTCTACAAAAATAAAAACTATCACAATTACATAAAACTGCAAATCTCACCGTCAAAAAACATACATTATTAAACCTACATATAACTGATCTGATTATAGCACAGTCACAAGCAATTTTTGGCCTGGAAAGCATATCACAGATGACATCCAACCACAAAAAACCACAGATAGCACATCTTAAAAGACATAATACTTATACTATGTTTGCACACAATCCACAACTCACTTCAATCTCGATTTATCTACAATCTGGATTGTGACTGTCACCAGTCGAACGTCGTGCTGTTCACGCAGGCAGTCCATTTGAGAAGAACCCAGGTATTACATGCAATGACAAAACTGATGTGGTAAGTCACGAACACCAACAAACAAAATGAAAGTTTTGGTTAGAAATAAATACTTTTTCTTGCCATACATCTAATAACAGACAGATGTCATCGTCTCTTCAGATGTCTTTTTTTATTTCTCTGTTGGTAGCCCAACACATGTTCTGCAGCCATCTTGTATTTTCTCGCACGCGTAGGATTGTTCCCACGCGTGCGAGAAAATACTGCGTGAGATCTCTCTTATGACTGGATCTAGTTTCGAGAACTCTCGAGTCGATCACAATTGAATCTCGTTTCAGTCAATGAAGAATGAAACGGTTGAGAGAGGTTGCACCACAGCATAGTCACCAACCTTGGTCACAATCTAGATCAAAATGCTCGGTGCGAACGGAATATTAGAAATGATAGTTGTATGAAATACTACATCATGCCAAAACTATACAAAATATCACGTACAACCTATTTATACCAATATAACTAAATAACAAACAAAAGCTTGACAAAAACATGAAATGAAATGCTTCTGCTACAAGCAAATTATTACACATCTAGCTAGTAAATACATATTACAATCTTAGAGAGCAAAACACAAAATATACTGACTGAGCTATAATCAAATACAAAACAATCCGTTACAACATACCAGACATCACATTGACTAACAAAACAAAATCACATACATCATATACATAGTTGTACCATTCACAATATACAAAATATACATACACTGAAAAAATTAATAAATATTCAGAACTTGTCTATGAAATAAAATACCAGTGAAGAATAGTTAAAGTACTTATTATGCAGTAAATGTTATAAGATGCCTAAGCATGTTCTAAATGTTTTTAGATTTTTGTGCAGTAAATGTTATAAGATGCCTAAGCATCTTATAACATTTACTGCACAAAAATCTAAAAACATTTAGAACTTAAAAGAATATATATCATATTACAGAAAGCAGCCATACTAAACAAATTTCAACATAATCAGAAAATTATAAAATAGATACTGTACATAATCTGTACTTAAGTTTAAACTAGTTTGACATTTAGTTTAGTATAGCTACTTTCTGAAATATGATGTTATATAGTGACATACTCCATCAATTGTATTAATAATAATAATAATAGACATGAAAAATATTAAAGTACAACAAGAAAATTTTGTTATTTTGTTTAAATACTATATACATAATAAAGTCTTGATTATATAAGGTAATGTGGACTAAAGATACAGGTAACCCCCGTATAACACGGCACTTCTATAGCACGGATTCGCTCTAACACGGTTCGAGAATTGGTACCATCCCCCGTATAACACGGTACTTTTATAGCACGGATTCACTCTGACACGGTTTGAGAATTGGGTAAAACCCTCGTACAACAGGAAATGTAATAAATTTTTACATACTTAACTAATAATAGTTCACGAAAATTATTATTTTCGTGAACTATTAGTACTTAAGTATGTNATAATTTTAAAACATTAAAATCATTTATAATCTTGTTTTAATAAAATATATTTATCATCTTTTTATATTCAGTTAACTAGATATCATTTTTCTAATTGAACAGAAATATTGTTATTAGGTTTTATGTTAATAAACCTGATTATTATATAAAAACTTAAATGGACAATAGTTTACATATAACTTAGCCATTCAATGTCACTGATTAAATTTCTAGTGATGCTTCAGCTGCAATCAGACTCATCAGTCTGAAAACACAGTTAGTTAATAATTAAAATGGCATCTAATGGACAAAAGTGAGTGAGGGTTGTAATTTTAAGTCAAACACTTTCTGAAAGTGGAAAATTATATGTTTCAAAGCTTTGAGAAAAATGTCATGACAATACAAAAACATATTAATTCACTGTAATTATAGACATATTACTAATTCACTAGGTTAAGTGCAACCAAAAGCCTAATCTTGCACTCAAAAATGTATCAATCAACACTGATGACATCTGTTCCTGCTACCTCTTACCTTTCCTTCATCAGTTAGCATTTCCAAACAAACTCCAATTGGTTGAATAGTATAGTGAATGAAGTAATCAATATTTGGACGATCTCTTTCTAACCCATCCTCAAAGATTGGCGAGTCTGAAGTAAATCAGCAGAAACTTTATAAATAATATTTTTGAATCATGTCTGCTCTCAGCAGTTGAACTGGTAAGCATTTCCAAACAGATCCTAAGATGTAGTTTCATAAATAACATCATCTTGTCATCCAACTTCACATAAAGAAATTGATCCAAACATTTTTTTTCAATAATGAGGATATTAACTGATAGATTTCACTGGATAGTTTTTAATAATTTATATATTTTCATAAATGTATTATGATTAAGTAAATTTGTAATTATAAGTAATTATATCATCAATTGAGGATTTCTGAAAAGTTATAGATTTCTGGGATGCATATAAATATATCAGGTCATAAAGGTGAAATTTATATATTTCAATTTTTTCTTCTAGAAATGACTGAAAAAAATGCCATAGAATGTTTGATGTGGGTATATACAACAAAGTAACCAAGGGGTATTTCATCACATATTTCATTGGAAACAGACTGATCAGCAATGTCTGACAATAAGAAAATTTTGAAAGAACACATTTGCATGCTGTTGTTCTATCACTTCATAAGTGGCCACAATGCACAGCAGTCCCAACTTGGAACCAAAAGACTACCATGTACAGTGATACCTCAGGATACAAACACCCCAGCATACAAAATTTTCAGGATACGACTGAAATTCGAACATATTTTTGCTCCACAATACGAACAAAAACTCACCATATGACGTTACATTAGTTTGCAGCACCATTTTTTATTCATTTCTGTTCATTGGTCTCAGTCCGCGTGTTTGCTTCATCGTGGAAGGATCTCGCTCGATAAAGGAAATCTTGAGGTATTATCAGAAAGTGACTGATTTTATTGAAAAAAAATATCCCGAAAAGGTTCACACTGGCTGTATTGCTCCTCGGAGTAATGACATTTGCCTAAGTCATTTTAGAAACATTTTAAAAAGTAGGCAAAGCCAAACCTCTTTGGATAGATATTTTAGCAAGTGACCTCTATCCAGTGAAAGGGCTGGTGGAAGTGAAGGAAAGAAAGCAAAAAACAGTGAATAAAAATTTTTAAAAAATATATAAAACAACACTAATTTCTTTTATCTTTTCTAAGTTATTTTTAAGCTATTGTTACATTATATTAAGTAAGTTAAGTTTTAGTATCATTTCCCTTCTCTCTCTCTCTTCCGCCACCAGTTTACACCTCCACCATTGTCTACCCTCAAAGGTAAAGTGCAAATAAAACTACATTTTTTTTTATCAATTATTATTCTATTATGCTTATTTATACATTTACAACTACAAAATGCATTTTTCAGTGTTTTCCTTACTGAAGTTATTTTTTTTAATGTACTGCTTAGCTTTAATTTGAGTGTTTTTGGTGTTGGAACAAATTATTTGGTTTTACATGTAATCGTATGGGGAAAAATGATTCACCTTACAACATTTTCATGATACAACCTCAGTTTCAGAACGGATTAATTTCGTATCCTGAGGTACCACTGTATTTCATGCCCTGAAGAACTACAGTATATCACCATTATACAGTTCAATGATAAATGACAACACCCAACAATGAAAACTTTCTTCAAAGGAAAACCCTAGTTATTCTATGCTTACGGAAAAGTTTGCAGCAAAAGTGGTAAGATTTGATTGATATTGATGTTGATTACCTACAAGACTGAACTATATCATTGTTCAGTTAATTATCAATAAAGATTTTTTTTTAATATCCAAATTTCACCTTTACAATCTGACAGCACAAAAATGCATACAAGACTGAATACAAAACATTACTTTAATAAAACATGTATTGGGTTGTTCAGAAAGTAATTTCTTTTTTTTCAGTGGAAAAAATGCAATATTTTTATAATAAATAAATATTTTGTTGAATTATTTATCAACCATTTTGTTGAAATATTTGTTGTCATCGTTTCTGGTAATAGCACGATTTCACATTCATAAAAGTTTTGATCGTTGCTTACAAAAAACCGATCCAAGTGATTTTTGACATTGTCATTTCAAGTAAATGTCTTACAGTTAAAAAAAATTTGTATAGACCAGAACAAGTAATAATCTGTGTGCGCTCAGTCTGACGAATATGGTCGGTGTGATTGCATCTAAGTTATAACAGTTTCTGACAAGTTACCAAACTTGTGTGAAATTTGACATTATTGTGGTAAAACACCACAGCTGTTTTTTTTATCAATTCCGGCCGGCTTTTTCTGTTTGATGATATTACGCAATTTGTTTACTTGAATGCAGTACACTTTCAAATCAATTGTTAAATTGTCTGGTAAAAGCTCCAAAAACAATTTCCTTAATATCCCACCAAATAGAGCATTTCTCTTTAAGAACTCATGGAATTCATATATCGAGCTTTGAAACGAAATCAATTTGTTTCAATTAATCCTAAACAGTTCGATTTGACAAATTTAATCTCTTAGTGATTTCACGTGTTGTTATTCGTCAGTTTGCTTCAATTGGTACCTTTTATTTTGTTTTCATTGGCTTCAATTGGCCATCCATAACATGGTGCATTTTCAATACTGAAATTGCGAGAACGAAATTTTGTAAACCAGTTTTGGCACTGTCATTCTGTCAACAGATCTCTACCATACATGTCACATGATTTTTTTCTCGCTTGAATGGCATTTTTATTTTGTTGGTAATAAAAAAGCAAAATATGTCGAAAATGCTGCTTTTGATTTCCATATTTGATGAGACACAAAAATTGAACAATTGCACAAAATCAAACGAAATTTTTTATAAATAAGCCTTAAAATGCTAGCTGTCAAAATATATAATGATAATACGGTTTAGAATAAAAATGGCGGAAAAAATACAACTAATTCGTAAGTGGTAAAAAAAACAAAATTACTTTCCGAACAACCCAATATAATAAATATAGTTTCACATATAAAATTTATGCATATATAAAATATTCTAAATATTGGGTGATCATAAAGTTTCCTTATTCAATGTTGTCCAAAATAACATTTAGCAGTTCAAATGCAACCAAATAGTTTAGTTTGATATGGTTTCATTTCATGTACATAAGATATTTTGATAAATTTCCTTTCTGTTCTTTTTTCGCTTTTTCAATTACACAGAACTGTCAATAGAAAGTTCCTTGAGATCTGCAAAAATTTATTAACAAACTTCCTTTCAAAATTTTCATTGGCCAAGAATTTATAGGAACAATGTCAGATTTTAAATTATGTCTAAATTTTGAATCTGTTGGGATTTTAATCAGATCCAGTTGAACATAGTTCACTGCTTTCATGTTTAACACCTTCAGAATGAGAACAGTAATCACTGAGGTTTCCATATAGTTTAGTGTCTTGTACAAATAAAATGTGTATATAGTGCTAAAAGTGCCATAGTGATGAATTTTGGAATTAATTTTTTAATCAGAAATATCTTCTGCATGTTCTGAAATGTCACTGTATCAAATTCGGTTGCATTTCAACTGCTAAATATTTCTCCCAGATAACATTAAATAGGAAATACTTCGTTTTTCGTTTTTGAAGGAAAGACCTATCTTCAAGGAAGGGGCGTCCCCATGGGCAGCCCAATGTCAGCTGTCCTATGTGAATTAGTATTACGTCAGCTCGAAAGATGTATCATACCCATCTTTAGAAACGATATAGTAATATATTCCAGATATGTCGATGACATTTTCATCTTGTGGAGAAATGATGACAACACACAGAATTTTATGGACAAGATCAACGATAACCCATATGGGTTGACTTTGGGTTTGGACCAAGAAAGTGAGAAGAATGTTAACTTCCTGGATATATCGATTACTTGTAAGGAAGGGGAAATATGGACAGGCATATATCGCAAACCGGTTTATCAACCTATTATCATCCCAAAGAATTCGACAGATACTAAGCATGTTAAATATGTGGCGTTTAGAGCGTGGATTAAAAGAGCGTACACCCAACGCACGAATTTATATGATACATATGAGGAATTAGATAATATACAAAAGGCAGCGGCGCAACAGGGATACCAGGATACCACAGAAAAGAGATTGAGGCACTTATTAAAAGACTACAGAAGCAAAACCAGCAGCCTCCCGAAATTGATCAAAGAAAAAATGTGTTAATTAATTATTTTCCATTTCTAAACAAAATAGTTAGGAAAGTTGCCAATAAAAATAAACTACGAATAATATATTGACGCAATCCAACTGTGTATAGAATGTTAAGGAATGACAAGAAGAAGGATAATCAAAATAACTTGACGGGTATATATTCTATACCTATAAAAAATCGTCAGTTTAATTTTGACCTCGTGTATGTTGGGGCAACTATGCAGAGTTTAAAACAAAGGATAAATGAGCATAAATATTCTGTAGGTAGGAACATCGATAGTACTGTTCTGGCGGCATTTGCCAAACAACAGGATGTAACCGTATACTGGGATCGTGCGGCAATCGTTAGGGCCACGAGATCATTACAAGCGATGAAGCATCTTGAAAAAATAGAAATACATAAAGCGCATATAGCCACGGAATGTATTAATCACAGAAATGCAGAAGGTTTGGCAACTGCTTGGAAGTCATTTTATACTAACACAGTTAATATATGTATCCATGACGACAGCATGTTTATTTGTTTATTTTTACTTATTTATTTATGTATTTTTATTTTTTCCGTTGTTCTACGCAGCCGCAGTTTAATTTTATTTCATTTTGTATTACGTAAATTTCAAATACTTGGTTCCTTTTGATATTGGAGTAACTGATGAAGGCTGCTAAAATCGGTTGAAAACGTTATTAGAGAATTCAATGTTTTTGCTGGACTGTTAAAAAGGCATTGTTTACTTATATTAATCATGTCTACATGCATTCATACTCATTAATATTTAAATTTCATTGAATATGAAGGCATTTAGACAACTACCCTATAGTTTAAGGTAGAATGTTTTCACATATTACTTTAGCAGAATACATGAAAATGATATTCAACATTACATTTCAAATCATTTTCTGTTAACTATCATCTTTCCATTCATACAAGAGGAATAATAACTTCAGATATTTATTTGAAGTTATAACTTATTCTGGTCTTTTCTCTTATAGGATTATCTTTTCTTTGACTCTGCCACAAATTGCAAAATCCTACATAATAAAATCACAAGCATTTTTTTTACAAGAAATACAAAACCCAAGCAATAAACAATTAGAACTGCTAAAGAAATAAATGTAATATTTTATACATTACCTTATTTTTACACATAACACCACCTGAAGTTTCTAATTCTTGCCTCCAATCATGCATCATTTCTTTGGTCACTGGTTTTAATTCATGTTCTAATATTTTATATTTTCCAACCCATTGCTTTAAAAGTTTTTCAGTCCTACTCAATTTTTTATTTTCCAGAATAAACATATTGCCTTCAACTGTATCAGTCTTCAAATAGTGATCATCATCTGATTCAATTTCTTCACTTCCCAAATCAGAATCCGAAGATAATTTGTCATCTTCTATAACAAAGTCTTTATCTTTAGATTTAATTAATTTCTTATCAGTGTGTGATACATCATTATCCTTGAGAAACACTTTTAGAAAAGCTTTAGCTCTAAGATTAAATAAACAAAATAATCAATAGCTAAAAAATAAAAGATTGTAATAAAGAATTAAATATCTAAATATTAGATATAGTATCTTCTAAACCTACACAAAGGTATAACTACATTTACAGTAATGTTACTTGTGTCAAAATCATGTAATATAGTAATAAGATTGGGAAATACTGGATGATTCTAACACTAAAATTGAAAAAAAGAATGTAATTACACGTAATTATAAAATAGGAGCTAAGCTGAATTAATCAATGCATCTTTTAAAATGTGCTTTCTATAATTTATTGTATTTATGACCTGGTATTGTATAGTTATGATAAATTGTTTCATCTCTCCCAAGAGTCATTCTAAAGCTGGCCAGCAGTTTGGTAGTTTTGTTAATACAATTCTAGCTAAGATCATTAAGATGCTTTTTGTGGAGCAACTATCAGATCCAGAACTACTTCACAAAATCTGTGTCTTTTGTATGGCTACGTTAGTTCCATTTCAGTATTGTGTAGGCTTAGTTTAATAATGTACTATATTTTGTCTTATAGACAAAACATAGTACATCACTGGAAACTTTCTTCAAAGAAAAACCCTAGTCATTCTATGCTTATAAGAAAGTTTGCAGAAAAAGTGATGAGATTTAATTGATATTGATGGTGATTATCTACAAGACTGAACTCTATCATTGTTCAGTTAATTGTCAATAAAAATATATTTTTTTAAATATACAAATTTTGCCTTTATAACTTGTTAGTACAAAAAAATCCATATGCATGCACACAAAACTGGATGAAAGGCATTTCTTTAATAAAACAAAACAATTTTGTCAAAATAACAGCTAATGTAGATAATATATATTTTAAACAATAAANACACCCGGCGAGGTATATATATATATATATAACAACAATGTTAGCTGGCTGAGTGCCAGCTAACATTGTTGTTATATATATTTTCCTGGTGCAGTGATGTAGGTGACAATGCACACCTACCCATTACTAATATGGTAACAGAGTTTTTGACCAAGAAAATTATTCTGTGCAACCCACATCACCTGTACAGCAGAAATTTAGCACCCTGCAACTTTTTTCTGTTTCTAGCACTACAGCTGAAGTTACAAGGAAATGAGTTCACAGAAGTAGTGGTCAAACAATTCCAAGAAATGGATTACTATACATCTTCAAGAACTAACAGAAATAATGGCAGAAGTGCATTGAATTCTAGGGGAAACACTTAAAATTATACTAGTTTCTACATCTCACAGTGATTATCATGTGAGGAAGGAATATCTCATTCTCAATTTAATTTAATTTTTTAAATAAATTAATACAAGTAATGTCCTACAGGACAAGAAAGAAGTTCCATGATAACAAGTAATAGACAATAATAATAAACATGCAATGCACAAATAAACAATAAAACATGTATAATAAATATAGTTTCACATATATAATTTATGTATATACAAAATATTCTAAATAGTGAGTAATCATAAAGTACCCCATTCAATGTTGTCCAAAGAAACATTTATCAGTCCAAAAGCCACCAAATCTGGTATGGTTACATTAGAAACAAAACATAGTACACCATTCAATTTTGTGTGATTGTGATGATTTTTTGTTTTCAAGAGAAAAATTCTTGCAGTGTCTGTATTTGTTTGTAGTGGAGGTTTAAAATATGTATAATGCCTCATCCTCTCTCATTACGAGGAGTAGACAACCTTTCTATGGACAACTTAGGATAATGTTTGTTGTATATTGTTAATATCCACATTTTCTTTTGGGGTTGTTGTAGCTCTGTATGTATTAATGTATAGCTCAAAACAAATCTGTTTATATTGATATGACATGCATTGATTGCTTTAAATATGTGTTACGCATTCAATTGTGTTGTTAGCATTAGTTTAATCTATTGTCTTCTTTTGTTAGTTTGATTTGTGCATCTGTGAGTTTCATCTGTTGGAATCCTAAATATATGTAGATTTCATTTGTATCAATGGATTCAATGATATATCCATTCCAAGTACAATGACGTTCAGAATTCTTTTTTCACTTTGAAGTGTTTGGCATTTAAAAGTTGAAGACCACTGTCTATCAGTGTTAATAAGGTTTTGATGAGTAAAACACAAAATATTTTGTAAGCACTTTCGACATGTATAGAAGGTCTTCTTCAGGCAAAACAAAAACAAATTTTAGAACGTTGATATGAATTTTAATATTAATATTAATATGGTCTAATTAGAATATGTGTTAAATTTAGTGTGCTATTAAACTTACAGATTATTGGTAAATTATTAAACAATTTATATTAAACAGAAAATTATTGGCAGCTGTGATTTAATTTTTTATATTATTGAATAGTGAAACCCATATTTTTGGGAGCTCTAGAGAGGGCCTATTACATGGCTCCAATTTCTCAATTAATAATGTTTCCTAGATGCCCAGTATTTGGCATTTGTCTATATCAAACTTCATTTGAATTTAAGTGTATGTAATTTTAGTAATGATTTAGTTGTGCTTGTGTTAATGTAAAGAGTTATGCTAAATATGAATAGAGATAATATGAGCTGTTGTGCCTGATGTATCCATATTTGCATTGTTAACCTATTGTTATGTTTCAGACTAGATAAGATCCATATAAAGTGAACTTAAAGAATTTCATAAAAAATGCCTTACTTTGTGTTCATTTTAATATCCAGTGATGCATTTTTTTCAAAAAATATAATGAGATAGATGTATTCTGTATAAATATATGCAATAACCATGTGTGGAATGCTTTTCAATGCTTTCTTTTAATCTACATATGCCAAGTGTAAGTTTATGAGCTTGTCATAGAATGACAATCTGTGAATAAGTGTTCTGTAAATCCCATATGGTTTCTACAAGCCTTCTTCTATGAGAATATTGTGTTGTTCTAAATAAATTTGTTTGTAACGCATGAAGTGAGTGTTTTGCAGTGTAAGAAGACATGTGATTGGTCTGTATAGTGTAGGATCTCTGATGCTGTTTTTTTTTGCATTTCATGCACATGATGCTCTGTTAAGGAATTTTGGCCTATCTTGTGGATTACTGATTGTGTGAATAAAATGTTTGGCTAGTTCTTAGTGTAAAAATGTAAATTTTTACACTAAAATTTTAAATTTAGTGTAAAGATGTATCACAAATTGTAAATATTGTCCTTCACCAAAGAGTTTTCCAACTGTGTATTCTTTGCATTGCATTTTGGATGTCACGATGCTTATTTCAATAGAAAACAAAATTTGTGTATTGTTTATGTTTTGTTCTTTCACCTTGATCTGGCTTGTTTAATTATTGTGTGTGACTAGATTAGTTCAAAAAGCAGACCAATAGTTTAAGTTCTGTTGGAATAGTTTAAGTTGTACCATGAATATATGGTTGGCTTGGTATATACTTGAATAACTTATTTTGTTGCTCTCATAGTTTTGTATCATTTGAGTCTCTGTAAGTTGGCTGCAAGTTTTTGTTTGAGTATGTCAATGTATTCTACTACACATGTAATTTATTGTTAATGTTGTATTCATGTTTTATTATTATTATTATTATTATTATTATTTGTTGTGAAACCGTGTCTTTTTCCTATTGTTGACTTATTAAACACTGACTTTATAATGTATTTTGACAACATGTGGCAAATTTTCATCGTTTATCTTTATTTAGTTGGTACGGCACATGCTCTTCTGTACTTGTTTTGGGCTGTTTTCGCCCCTCCTCAGCCAACTATAATACAATGCATGTTAATTACTTATTACAATTGAGAGTATACACATAAAAACTAATAAGTACATAAATGATACATAGACGTACCTTTAAATTATAGGTTGTATAGATTAAAATTGTATAAAATTCTATTTTACTATTAACTTACATAAATATTTGTTTAAAATCAGTTGTGAATAGATGATTTAATAAGTCAATTATTATTATTATTATTATTAAATAAATAAATAAATCAGAAATGAAATGATAAAAATTTTGTCATTTGATTTATTGTATTTTCAACAAAATGCATTTTGATACAAAAATAATTGCAGCGTAGATAGTTTCAGTTCAAACATTCCTAATTTTTTTCCTGTTTAGCTTACTTTATAATTACATCTATAATGAAACTTTTCTCAAAATCCTTTTGGGCCTACCAGTGGCTAAATGGTTCCATTTCCTTAACACTGGGAGTAAAGTTGTGGGTTCACGCCTTGCCAGGATGGGCTGGCCACATGGAGTTTTCTGGGTTTTCTCCATGTCTGTAAGGCCTGAATAGGGGCTAATTACTCTTAAAAAGACCTCTTGGAAGGCATCCCCCTAGACAGATCACCCAAGTGCTACATTGCCATAACTTAACAAACAAACAAACAATTACTAATAAATAAAACAAAAGAAATGAGGAAAAGTGAAATGTTTCAGATAATACCTTCTAAACTAAATACAAATTAAGTAATACATTTTCAAAAGAAACTACAAGAGGTATGGATTATGTATATGTATCAGGTCAGTCCATAAGTTCGTGCACATTTTTATCTACAAAAAAAGCAACAAAAAATTTTAATTAAATCTTATTTCAATCTATAATGTATTCACCATTATTTTGTACAATTTCTTGCCATCTTGATGGTAGCTTTTTAATCCTGTCTTTGTAAAATGATTTCGGTTTTGAATCAAAATATTCAGAAATAGCCTTTTTTTACATTGTTCTCATCCTCAAAAGTTTTTCCTTTTAAAAAATTCTGCAAACTCCGAAAAAGATGTTAATCACTGGGAGCAATATCTGGCAAATATGGTGGATGAAGTAAAATTTCCCAGTTGAAGCTTTTGAGTTGAGCAGTTGACATTGTTGTCAGTTAGCTATTGACAGTTCATGTGGTATCCATTTTCCTAGCTTTGAAACTTTTCCGACTTGTGGTAGATGTCTATGAACAGTTCCATGGGATGAATTTAAACGTTCCGCAATTTCATCAACTGTTAAAGATGGTTCTGCTTCAACTAGTGCAGAGAGAGCATCATCATCAAAGTCAACAGGTCTTCCAGTACGAGCTTTATCCTCCACACTAAAATCATTATTTCTAAATCTTTCAAACCACTTCTGCGCAGTCCTTACACTAATTACAGTTTGATTATGAACAGTATTTAATTTTTTGGCTGCATTTGTAGCATTCTCATCACTTAAAAATAAAAAGTATAAAACACGTCTCTTATATTCATCTGTTACTTCCATTTTAACGAAAATAAACAACTGAAATGTTTCCAATTCTGAACAGTATTATATGAATGAGATCCAATTTAACACTTCAGTGTAAAAAGTATCACATTAGACTGGCATTTTTAACAGCAAAACAAGATTTTTCTCAAAATAATAAAATACGCAGGAACTTATGGACTGACCTGATATTATCTATGGAAATAGAAATGTGGTGATGAGAGTCAGGCAACATTTTCATTTTTGTTTCATCAGTTATTTGCAGGATATATATTTGTGCAGGTTAGAGGAAATTACAGTAATTTACCTAAAGCATTTTACAAAGAATCAAGAAAATACACTTACAAGGGAATCTGGCAGTTTGCATTCAACGATTTTGATGAAATTTTGTGATATGTAGTATTTATTTGTATTTAAGGCATCACATGCAAAGATTTTGTTTTTGGGCTCAATCCCCATATGTGATGTTTTACAACTATAATTTAATCTTATCATTTTTAAATTTCTTATGTACAGTTTTTAAGGTCATTGAAAACATATTTTTTACTTTGATCACTCCATTTTTAGAAAGTTCATATAACATTATAATTATATTTTGCATTATTTAATGTAATGTAGATTTACAAAAATCTAATAATTTATTATTAGATTTTTATAAATCTAAAAATTCTAAAGAAATTTATTATTAAGAATATCTAAAAAATTTATAGACTTCTTAATTGAAATATTACAGCCATATGTAAAAAATATAAGTTTTTTTTATTAATTATAGATTTGTGGGATGTTTAAACAAACTCTCAAATACATGCTGAAATTTTTGCACATGATGAAGATATTCCATCTTGCCAATTAAAAATTATCCTGCTGAAACATACTCCGTTTTGTCAATGTTTGTTTTAATAGACAGGTTAAAAATTTTATCAAAAAATTAGCTTACCCATCGCGCATTGCTGCGATCTCAGAAGAAACGAAATTAAGCAAACTCATTATGATAAAATGAAATTTACATTTTATCATTTCTATTGAAACTTATTATTATTATTCATTTTCATCGGAAAAACATTTCAGTGTCGTTTCAATTCTATTTATTTATTGGAGTGCTTGTGGATACACGATATTTTTTGTTTTTTCGTCTGATGCGTATACGAATAAAATAAAGAAGGTTTTCCGACACGTGAGCTGGCCACATACAGTTGTCCATGTGAGAAGCATGAATTCTCCAAATTTAGCCCACACACTTGCAGCGATTGTCAGAAGTGCAATATTCCCCATTTTTATAAATATTTTTTTAATCCTTTACAATTTTAATTATTTAATTGCTCCTTCTTCTCTTCCTTGGCACGTTGTGAAATTTCTGATAGTTGGATAATAAACCGTTTTATTGTAATTTGTCTTTTTAAATTATTGTGAGTTGATATTAAAATTTGGAAAAGGGGATACCTAGATTGGTAAAATAGGCGAATTTCCTCCTACAACTATGGTTGTTGTTTGGGATACAGTTAAGGTTTTAACAAAGTTCTAGCGAATACATAATTAGCAAAAAAAAAGTTGAAATAAAGTGATTAAACAAAAATTATTACAAATATCGTAAATAACAAATGCATATATAGAGATATTTTTTTGGAGGGGGGAAATGGTCTTCATAATTCAAAATCGATCGAACACACAGTAAAATGCTTGTATACACGTGAGCCATCTATCGTAGGATAAATGTACTATGCCAAAAACCTTCGCGGGAGTGTATTAAAAAACTTCCCAAAGTTTCATGGCAATTGTACTATGCCAGAAACCTTCACAGGAGTATATTAAACAACTTCCCAAAGTTTCATGGCAATAGGATAAATGGTGTGGTAATACATGAAGGACATACAGACAGATACACAGACATACATTCATTTTTATATATATAGATTACAAAATTATAATTATCTTCTTAATTATCTTCTTAAAAATGCTATTAAAATATAATCTCTAATTCATAACCAGTTGAGCACACCAGTTTCTTTTGACATGTCAAATTTAAAATACAGTTTAAATTTCAAATACACAAAAAATTTTTTTTTATTTTTTACCCTGCATTGTTAAAACAAAATGTAAAGACTGTGTGAATGAAGTAGCAATGATTTTATGTGTTTGGCACAATGAGCCATTGTTTTAACTGTTTTTATGATAAAATACTATCCAAAATGCTATGATATCATGAAATAGTCATTGTAATATTTATTGCATATGTATATATAATTTTGTTCTTATTGGGTGAAATATAAACTTTAAATTGTAGAAAAAGAATTTAAATTCTGTGATATTTTATAATGAATAACAAATTTTAAAATTATAAGATTAAATTATAAATGTAAAAAAAATCCTCGTATATGGGAATCAAATCAAAAAAAAAAAAACCTTTTCATGTGACACCTTAACTAATCAGACTACACCACTACTTCATGAATCATTCTTTCTTATTGGTATTTATGGTTGTAGAAATCTTTTATCCTAATTTTCTTGAGAATGCCTGAATAGTGGGGCCTGTGGCTTTGGTAGAGTTTAAATACAAGTAAATACTACACATTCACAAAATTTCATTGGAAGTGGTGATGACAAACTGTTGGATTTCCCTTGTTAGCTGTCATTGATGTCCTCAATTCTTATAATTATAAAAATTATTTAAATCAGTGTTTTAGAAAGTTCCTTACATATAAAATCCAACTCAAATCAATATGATAAAACAGATAAATATTTTTGTGATTAGTTTCAAACTTCATTTAAAAAAAAAGTTTTATAAAACTATTTTGATAATAAAATATATTTAAATATTTTAATTATCTGAATTTAATAATATCTAATAATCTTAACATATATTTTATCTCAAATATTTTAAAATACTAATTAAAATCAGAACTATTACACCATAAAACAGACCTGCATTTACTTTTCCTATCACCATTGCGTTGTGTTTTATTTGGAAAATCAGCATCATATTGTTTATTATTTTCTAATGTTTTCAAGTCAGAAAATTCGGTATCTTGATTGGAGTGAATAAAACGCATATGTGCATATATGCTGTTGGGACGCAACTGTTTGCCACAGACTTCACAAGGAATAAGCTATGAAAGTTGTTATTATTATTATTATTTATATTTTAAAAAATCTATAAATTCACTTATTCAATTACATTTCTAAATAGTTGATTAGAAGTTTCTTTTATCTTTAAATGCATTGAACTGAATTTAGCAATTATACTCACTTCAGGTACATCTTTCTTTACCTCTTCAGATAAATGATTTAAATCTCCAGAATTAGGTTTTATAATATTGTTCTTAGAAACCTTAGACCTTTTGCTTTTCTGAATATCATCATGTTTTTCTAATTTAGATTTCTTGATATTTTCATCAGAATGGATAAAACGCATGTGTGCATATATGCTGCTGGGACGCAACTGTTTGCCACATACTTCACAAGGAATGACCTAAAAATGTTAAACCATAGCTTATTATTTATATTCATACATTTTTACATTAAATTTTAATATTTTTAACTAAAAAAAATGAATTTGTATCATAAAAATATAGATATAATGATAGAAAATGTTTACTTGCTTTCTGAAAGGTATTTTAAAAATATTATTATAGTACTTTAAATAAATGTTTGATTTCCTATTATATTTTTGTTTATTTGCCTAACTCCACTGTCAAATTGTAACTCCTCCTTGCATTTTAAACTATTTGAACTAATTTAAACTAACTAATTCATTTTAATGCAAGTTAGAACACAATAAACTTTACTAACTGGTGTCAGGAGCCTGACAGAAAAGGAGATTCTAACAAACCTGTCAAAAAAAAAATCATCAGCAAAAAAACCCTTTTTTTTTTTTGCTGATGAGGACCAACAGGTCCAAAACACAAAGCTATTGTGTATGTGTTCAGATGATAAATAAAGACTGTTTTTCTGAATTTGTTTACTTAATTTACAGAACCAGTTATCCAGTATAATAAAAATATCACTTACTAAAACCAATAACCGGTATTAAATAATCGTAAAATGTACTGCAAACGTTTTCGGTTCCTTCCCTAGGACCTTTCTCAAGCAGCGATTCGTCTTTAGAATAACTATGAACGAAGACCAGTAAATAGCGATATTCGAAAAATTATTCTTCCGAACAACATTTCAAAAGTCAAAATTCAACGTTAATGTGAATCACGTGCATTCCCGAATTCCGTAAATAAATATAATAAAAAATAATTGAAATGTTGTTCGGAAGAATAATTTTTAGAATATCGTTATTTACTGGTCTTCATTCATAGTTATTCTAAAGACGAATCGCTGCTTGAGAAAGGTCCTAGGGAAGGAACCGAAAACGTTCGCAGTACATTTTACGATTATTTAATACCGGTTATTGGTTTTAGTAAGTGATATTTTTATATTAATCCGGTATTTGAAGATTCTTTACCAGTATAATAAGTCCTAATAATAAATATATCCTAGTTGATGATTTATCTTAAAATTATTTAGTTAAGGACACAAAGGCATATTAATAGAACAAAATAAATTATTCACAAATAACAAAAACCTCTTCTTCAGACAAATTATTGGTGTTCTATTGTCATGCACAATGCTGAAGTAGACTGGAGCAACGACATGCAGTACACACCTAGTATATAGTGTGTTGAAATTAATATACAAGACATTCATTGCACAATGCTGAAAGCGCACAACTGGACAGCATCTGGTGGAGACAACATTCACAATTTCTGGTACAAAAAATTCACACCTCTGCACCACCAAGAACTAGAGAAACATTTAACTCAAATCATCAACAATCCACAAGACATGCTAAATTTTCTGAAGCAAGGCATCACCTACATGAAAAAAAAATCCTGTACAGTACAGACCAATTACATGTCTTCCAATACTTTGCAATGCAAGACGTAAGAATCTTGTACACAAAATATACAATCATATTGATGAACACAACATTCTTACAAACAACAAAAATGATGTAGAAATCACAAAGTTTGCAAAGAACTACTCATTGATTGTTATCTTAGGGAAAGTTCATAAGCAACACAGAAACACATATGACTTACCTGTACATTGATTTCAGAAAAGCATTCGACAGTGTCCAAAACTCTTGGCTGCTGCATACAATCATCCACAAAATTCATCCCAATTTTACTATGCTTCACTGGAGAACATTACATCTTAACCTCCACAATACTCACATAAAAACATATCAAATATACATTAAACAAGGAATTTTTCAAGAACCCAACAATTTTAAATTCCTTCAACAGAATATAGTTACAATAACAGACATAACAAAAAACACTATTCACATTATCACACCTCGTGTAAATGGACGATATCAAACTTTACACATTCACACAAAATCAGCTTCATCATCTCTTACAAACTACACACACACACACACACTTAAATGATGTACAAATGGAGTTTGGTCTAGACCAGGGGTCAGCAACCTATGGCACGTGGGACAATTTTCAGTGGCACTCTGATTGAATAGAAATGTAGCAAAAATTATATTTTAATTATTAATTATACATTTAAATGGACGTCATTATTCAGCAAAGGCCATGGTATATTAAAAACAAATCTCTTTGTATATTTCTATTACAGCGCATATGTTTATGCTACGTGTCTCCATTTACGCGTTATGCAAGCACTTTACACGCAAGAACATAATTCAATTAACAACTTAACTTCAAAATTATACATTTTTGAAGTCAGTTATAATCAGACTAATTTTAATAACATATAATAAACTTGGTAGAATCATGTCAGCACTTGGAATAACACTATAACTGACATTTGGTACAACACAGCTGAAAAGGAAGTTCTGAAGAAAGGAGACTTTGTACTCAGAAGTGGAGATATTATCCAATCCATGAAAGAGGGTAAGTTGTACAAATATTTAGGATTCCAACAGGCCAAACTTACAGAACATGCTCAGATAAAACAAAGATTAACACTTGCATACCAGAACAGATTACATGCAGTACTAAGAACACACACAAAAGCAAAACATACTATTAAAGCAATTAATGAATATGTTGTCCCTGTACTCAATTATTCTTTTAGAGTTATACACTGGACACACACAGATCTCAAGCAATTCCAAAGAAAACAAGACTAACATTTACTAAGCATAAACAATATCAGCCATAGAAAGACTAATTCTTCTTTGTAAAGAAGGTGACCATGGCCTGAATAATATAGTCAACCTGCATTACAAACAAATTCTGACATAGTGAGAGTTATTCCACCAAAAATAAGAAACATCAAAATTACATAAATCTATAACTCTGGCAAATGGTAACCACTCATCTTTAAACTTACACCCAGTGCATCTGGATGTAGGTCAACACTCAAATAACAGACATCACTAAGCAGTCATGAGCCCAAAAAGCCCTTCATGGCAGTCATGCCTACAACCTAGTTCAGAACTATGTTGACATAACTGCATCAAACTACTGGCTGATTAGGAGGCTGTCTGTTTGGAAAGACTGAGGAGTTTATAATTGCCATTCAAGATCAGGTCATAAACACTAAAAACTATAGAAAACACATCCTGAAGGATGCATCACTAACAAATGACTCTTGCAGAAAATGTCACATTCTGCCAGAAACAATACAATATATAACTTCTGGTTACAAGCTCTTAGCACAAACAGACTATTTACATAGGCATAATCAAATAACCAGTATAATATACCAAGAACTTTCACAGAAACATAGACTATTAAACATCCAGGTACCCTACTACAAATATACTCAACAGGCAGTTTTAGAAAATGACACACACAATATACTATGACAGAGCCATAATCACAGGTAACAATTCATCATAATAGACCTGACATTACTCTCATTGACAAACGTAGTAAGATTACTTATATAACAGACATCACTGTTCCAAACACTAATAATATAAAAATTGCTCATACTGAAAAAATCAACAAGTACACTCCACTTACTCAAGAAATACAGTAGTGTTGTTTATTCGAAAGCCAATCAACCAAAACGTCGGTTAACCAAAAGTGTTCCAGTCGAACTGTGTCGTGCAGAATCGAATGTATTTGATACTAGATTAACTTCCAAAATATAATTTTTTTGTTTTTATATTTTTCAATATATTTATTTTGTTTGTACAAAATAAAGAAATAATTTTTAACTATACAATAGCCACGATTATTATTTTAAAAATTTACATTAGGCTTAACATTGACAAAAATTCAACATGAAATGACATGCAACAGAGAAAAATTTCAACATGGGATAGTTTAATATATTTTTTCGTACATAATCGGTTATCTGAACAACCCCAGTCTACAATTGATTCAGATAAATGACGCTCTACTGTAATACAGATGTGGTGGATGGATAAGGTATTTATTGCATCTGTTGTCTTCTCCTTTTGTGTAGTGTTATAACATATACACTATACAAAAGACTAGAAATGTTAAACCTTAATAAAAACATATACATGGCACTACTGAAAGCTGCAATACTGAACAAGTCACATTGTTAGGAAGTTCCTAGATATTGACACATTCCAATAATACAGCTTAATGTTACACTTGTTTGTGTAGCTATGCTTTGACTTTAGTCAGGCATAATACTTGACACCAGTATTAGCTGAGCATAACATTCACAACATAATAGTAAATATATACATAAACACAGTAATTTTATCATATTGCAAACAATATCAAAGCAGCATCTTGACATAAAATTAAAATATTGTGAAAAATTGTAAACTTCATGAATTACATGTACTGTTTGCTGTATGAAAGTTTGCACCTAATTCTAAGTGATTAGCATGAGCAGAAGTTGAGCATATGCAGCCAAGGTCAGTCTATGTATTATCAAAGCAGTTCAAAATGGACTGTTTTGTTCTGCAAAATGTTGGGTGAAAAAAATGATTGACAGGGGCATCTTTTAGGGCTCTAAGTCAACAATACTAATCACTGCTCGCTATTATAACCTTGTATGCGTCACTCACACAATGTGATGCGCACATGGCTAGAACTTCTTATTGCAAGATTGTGAAATTATGGTAATCGGATATTGGAAACCATGATTTTATCTTTTATTTATGTAATATTTCTTCCTTTTCAGGCTTCCTAAGTTTATTTTTTTGAAATTTGATCAGATAAATAGACGAAACAAACATATCAAATGTCGCTTCCCTGTAAATCATTTCAAGTTTCACAGATTAACATCAGCTTTGTTTGTAACTGCAGAGGGATATTGCTGTGTCCCTCTGCAGTCAGGATAGTAAAACTTTATTACTTTTGCAGGAGGGTATGAAATGAAAACAGTCACACCCAAATGTAAAGTAAACAAACTGCAAAGTGCTTTATTACTGTCTAAACAAAAGCTTCATTCCAGTTTTAAGAGGATCATATGACAATGTTATTGCATTCAGAAAAATGTTGACTTTCATATTTAACAGTTAGATTGGTCTAAATGTGATTAATTTTTTTTCATGTGATATAGTTATAATTAACAAAAATCAATTCTCTTCATTCAAAAATTAATATACACACTCTAATATTCTTAAAATAAAAAATTCTGGTAATTTTATCAAATAATTGCATTTGTCAAGCTGCCTGAATAACACTGTTACCCAACAAACAAATTTTGAAGATGCACGTTTTGTATTATCAAAAATAATTTATATATATATATATTATACTGAGTTGTGTGACAGGTCTCATTGTCCCGTGCAAACTCAAACATCCATTTAAAATGAATTGAAATTGAATTTTTTTGTCCAGAGATGAAGAAAGAGCAGAGAATATAAGGAATGGTATTTTTGTAAAAATATATTCATTTTGAATTGCTATTGTATTAAATTGCATTTATTACACATGAACTCAGAATTATACCCACAATATTTTTCACATTTTTTACCATATTAGTTGAGTCCCATGGGTGCCTAAACTAATCTTAATAGCTTTCTTGTTACTGATTTATTTCTGCTTCTTTTATGAAAATATTTTTATCACTTTTTCAATTGACACATTTTAGAAATAATCTAAATTTTAATTCATAAAAATAATATTAGTTGTAATGAAAATTTTGTTGTTTCATAAAAATATTTAATGGTGAAACCACTAAAATTCATGAAAATTTTTGCCTATTTCTACCTTGTCCTTATACTATACCTTGTACATTTTATAAATGAAATGATTAAACTTAATTTGATTACTGCAATTTTTGTAATTTACAGAGAAGTGACATTTGATATGTTTATTTCTTCTGTTTATCTCATCAAATTTTCAAGTTTCCAATATCTGATAGCCGTAATTCCATAATCTTACAATATAATATCTAGCTGTGCATGCATTCACATTGTGTGAGTAACACATACATTCATTTAAAAAAAAAGTTAATTTAAATTATAAATCAATAAATTGGAAGATTTTAAAAACTGGACTATAATTTTCCAAATATATACCCTAATTTTATNTAATAATCTTACAATATAATATCTAGCTGTGCATGCATTCACATTGTGTGAGTAACACATACATTCATTTAAAAAAAAAGTTAATTTAAATTATAAATCAATAAATTGGAAGATTTTAAAAACTGGACTATAATTTTCCAAATATATACCCTAATTTTATACACAAAAATTTAACCCTATCATGTTGCTTAATGATAAAAATCATGACAAAATTCACTTATGATAATTAATTTTTTATAATATATATGACAATTTCTAATTATAGAGTAAGTGATTTCACTGATGGCATCATGTATCTTATTAACACAAACTGCTATATTAAGGGACTCTGATAAACAGCATAAATGGAATATGAAATCTTGCAGACAAAAAGAGCAAAAAAAATTAAAAATATGCTTTGGTTAAAGAAAATGAAAATCTCAAAAAAATAACTAAAAATTTATAGATAAAAATGATAACTTACTTCAATAGCATTATCATTACTGTCTTCATCTTCATTCTTCCGCAATCGTTTCTTTCCTGAACAAAATTTTTTAAATTTAAAATAAGCAGGATTAATTTACAGTATATAAAGGATAACTGAATAAAAATCTAAATCAGCTAATCAGTTTGTATCATTAATGATAAGATATTTCTAATATATAGATGTTAGAACAAACATTTCTAAATTTTCCATATTACTAATATCAGTTTCATAAGTATAAATGCTGATATATGTTGAAAGTATTTGACAGTTTTTTGATATATCATTATCAAAAATTTGAGTTCTACAGTGTGGGTCTGGCAACAAAATTCTTTTTCTAATATTACTTGCAGTATATTTCAAATGTAATAATGGTTATATCTTAAATCTTGTGCAACTGCTAGTTTGTAAACTAATCATAAATTACCTACAGACAATAGTCTCTCCTATTACAGCACATTTCTAATGTACAAATTTGTTGAAAGATTATAGATAAACAGGGGTATTAAATTAACAAAATGAGAAATTGTAATGATCAAATGATAAGGCCTGATTAATTGTAAGGCTAGAACTTTGCTAATTACTTTCTTTCATATGATTGTGCTTTGTGCTACTGTGTGACACCAGATAAATGTGAGAAACACCATCCAGCTGACTATAACTCCTTATACTTTAGATCACAGGTTCTCAAACTTATTTCAACCACCGCCCACTTTGAGATAAAAAAAAATCTAGTGCCCCCATATTTTTTAACTTACCTTTTTACATTACCATCTGTTGCATATCTTAAAAACAGTTATTGCAAATATAATGTTTAAACATGCATCATTATATAGATAGGATAGATAGGGTGTGACCCATATCCTATTTCTGAGATCAAAGAATGTTTCAATGAGATAAAATAAAACTCATATTTAATCAATGAGCCTTTTACTGCCCCCCTGAAAGCCTCCAGCACCCACAAGGGGGCATTATCGCCCACTTTGCAAAAGGATGTTTTAGATGAACAGAAAATACATCATAGTCAAACTTCCATTTAATAGCACTACTTGTTCAGTTCTACAATTGGCCTTAAACTGAGTGTAATGCTAAACCAAAGTACTGTTAAACAATACGAATTATATGTAAAAATAAAGTCTACAAATAAGTTTAAGCTTCTGAGTTTAAAACGATTTCATTGTATTTCATCGTGTATAATGCACACTTACATTTTTGGCCAACACTTTCAGGGAAAACAATCTTTCATTTTAATTTTTTAATTCAAATTTTTATTGGTTTATATTTAGGTACAGTAGAGCATCGATTATCCGACTCAATTGGGGACTCAGGTTGGTCGGATAACTGAAAAAATCGGATAACCGAAAAGAAAGAAAAAATACATTATTAGTATAGCAGGGGTGCACAACCTGCGGCCCGCAGGCCACATACGGCCCCCTATCAATGTTTATGCGGCCCGCGGACGGTACAGGCCAAATCCCTTCTTTCGAAGTTTCTAAGTGTAGAACTTTTTCCCTTTCACAAAGTCATTAGCACCCAACTGTTTTATGACTTTCCCTGAGGTGAGAAATGGGGGATTGTTCTATAAATAAGTCTATTTCTATATAACACTTTCTGGTTTAGATCTATACTAATTATAAAGAGGTAATGTTTGTATGTATGTATGTATGTAAAAGTTTCTTTGCAGCAGGTAATCTCCGAAACTACTTATCCGATTTCAAAAATTCTTTCACCAATATTTAGAATGAAACCTCAGGGTGGACATAGGCTGTATATTATTCCNCGTGACGAAAACAAGCTTAAGCAATGGTGACGTCGAACGGTGCACACTCGGTAAGTAATCCTACAATTTTTTGTTTATAGCATAGTTTATACGGATTATTCCCAAAAAGATTATATGAGTTTTGGAAATGTTGAGTCAAATTAGTCAAGAATCGATTAATTTTATGGAAGAAAACCTTTCAAACAGCCATAGTCCCTAAACTGCATACATGTCGGGCTGTGATTGGCTCATGTATTTAAGGATTCCTACAACGCAAAATTCGTATAACGTGGAACGTGTCTACCGCGTTATAGGGGGTCTACTGTAATTTGTTCAAATTCAAATATTTCAGAAAGACTTATTATTAATGAAATATTCTTTCTTATTATGTTAATCTAATATAATTCTAAAATAAGAATAAAACATTAAGAAATGAAATAATATTAACTTAAAAAAAAATAATAATAAAAATTGATTATTAAGTTTTCAATGCAAACAGTAAATAGTACAGACAGTATATGCTATCCATTTTGAAATCAAATTTGTATCTCTCTCCTCTATATATATATATATCAGTGGCATGCAGTGACATTTAATGATAGGGAAGCTGTTCCCATAAAAGTTTTAAAATACTGGAAATGACAAAAATAAACAGTTTATTTATTTTAATTCTAAAATAGATAATTGACATGAAACAAAGATAATAAAAAAATAATAAAAACAAATGTTTATTATTTTTTATAAACTAACTTTATTTGGCAATTTTTTTCGCAAAGTCATTAATCACTTTATCATAAAAATCACTTGTTGATTCCATCAAAGTATTTAAAAGCTCTTTTTCTATTGAAAGCATTACTAGTAACAACAATCTTTCCTTTGAATGTTCCTCGCAAATTTTCTTCGTGGTTGAAAAACTGCTCAACAGACTCACTCGTAGATGGTACTGTAAGAATTAATGATATTAAAACATATAATTCTTTTAGTAGATCTTTGTTCAGACTGTCATTAATTATGTCTAAGAGTGACTTGCCATTAGTCTAGACATGAATATAAATAATATTGAAATTCACTGCATAATTTAGATAAATCAAAAAATTCTCCATAAAATTTACTTAATTTAAAGAATTAAAACTCACTTTGGAAAATTGTTTTTATATTTAAAATTATTAATATCTAAAAAGGATGAAATTCTAAAGATTTTATCAACATGTTATAATTAAATATAGCTTTGTAAAGAAACATACATAAAAATAACAAAATATTATTTATATTTTAAATCTTAAAACAATGCACTTAGTCAAATAACTCCCTATGAGTAGCTAATGGATAGAATTATTGGAAGCATTGTAGGATATTTTGGTGTGTAGCATCCACCAGCTAAACCATGTGATGTTGGTGCTCTGTAAAGCGGATTGTACGCATTTGCACACGTGCAAATGCGTACAATCCGGCTGCTTTATACCATTCAAATATTTTCACCATGGAAGCTGTCCCGTTTTCAACAATACAGCACTTCCATTGGAATATGCATATACGAATTTATTAGAATATACAATAGCAATCTAATCATTGTTTTTTACATATGTAGAAATTTGTAATAAAATACATAATGTGGTTATAATAAAATATTAATTTTAAGTAATTCAAAGTATATTAAAATATGAAAATAATTGCACAATGTGTATTTATATTTTAGAAAATACAAGAGAAGTGGCACTTCCTCAACTTCCATGGATGGCACGCCACTGATATATAGCTCTGAAGATGGAAATAAAATTAATATTTTCGGAATAATTTTAAGATATCGAAGCATTTTTAAAGTTTTATTTTAAGAAAAATTCCTATACCACCAAAAATGTTTTAAATCATTCTCTCTTAATTAAAAGTAAATAAATTATATATATATTAAAAACAGAACTTTTACATCACTATAATATACTTATACACATTGAAGCCATGTCTCTTAAAATAGAGGTTTTCAACTTTCCTAAGGCTGCAGAATACCATTTATATACATTTTATGCATTTGTATAAAAATTGATGAGCAATTTCACATTTACTATTCTCAGGAAACACTGAAGTAATAAACTTAATGTGTGTGAATAAAATACAATCATGAAATTGTCTATGAATGCAATAATATGTTGTAGTATTAAAATGCATTGTCATCAGACTTTGAAGTTTGAAACTTTGAGGACATACCTACACCACCTTAATTAGAAGTGGACAAAATTTTAGACATGATACAAAGCAAGTTAAATAAAAGTATTTAATATTAAATAATAATTTTAAGGACAATTTTAATAATGTAATTTGTGTTTCTAGTAAGGACTAATATACTGTTATATATATATATATATAAAGAATTAATGAAAACAACATTAAATTAAATGTAATATTTTGAAATGATAAATTTATTTTTACTTTAGTTATATGTTGAAATTTATTTTAATTGTGATATTCTATCAATACCATCATTCACATAATTTTCGATAGCATATTTTAAATTGACAAACTTATTAGTATGAATTTGAATTTATTTAAAATTCCTTTTGAAAGTATTTTGAAATTCAAACCGTAATTTTTTTTATTTATAAATAAATGATGAAGCAGAAGAGATTCGAACATATGCACAAAATTTCGTCTTTTCGCCACGTGCGCGACGATTGCATCAGATCAAATCGCACATAATTCCAACTAAATCGTATCAAAGAACATAATTTTGAATTATTACACGAAATCACGTACATTTAGTCTTAAATGTAAAAATTCCGAACTAAATCTAACAGTTCCCATGGACTAATTCATTCCTGTGCTTTAATGACCCATAAACTAATTTAGCCAGTTCAATGCGCCTATACTAACGTTAATTCTCACTTTAATAGTATAATACGAAATTTTGAATTTAAAAACTAAATAAAGAAATCTTAAGAAGTACTTAATTTTAAATCAAATTATATCGAGTAGCTTTTTTTTTATATAAGTAATTACCGAAGTACAACCGACCTCTTTTCCTTCTTCCCATCGTAACCACGTGGTATTAGCCTCCAGATCATCAGCTGTATCAGGTCAAAAACCCGAGCATGCGTACTTCGGTCACGTGATCAGATAATATACTAAAAATTTTGGTGTAAATTTTACAAATTCAAATTCTTTTAATATTTATCCAATTAATAAAGTAAATACAATTAAAATAGCAATAATGTGCTTATTTCTCAAAATAAATATTAAAAATACAGTTACATCGATTATTGTTAAAGAAATCATTACAAGAACTTTATATAAACATTTTATATGTATATTACTTCTATATTTCCAATCTCTGAATGGTAAAGGACCGTTTCGAGTTTCAAAAAGTAAATATAATGGCTCATAAAATTTTGACAAACGGAATGAAGGTATAAAAGAGAAAACAAATTCATCAGTAGTAGCCGCCATATTTAAACCGGAAGTCGGAGAACGCCCTCTATCATTAATATTAATTCTTAATAATTTTTTTTAATATTAAATATGTAAAGTACAGTACATATATTATTACTATATTTCAAATTATTGCTACATCAGTTTACATACAGAAAATTTTAGTATAATAGTTTTTTAATTCTAGGCTTTTTTAATTAATTAAAACGTCTTTCCGCCCTGTGGGAACTAAGATGGATCCCCCCCTTTTTTTTTTACAAAGCCCATTATGGGTTCGGCCGCGTCCAGAATGGGCACCCGGATGGTAATGGACAGGGCATATCCGGAAGACTACTCCCCGAAAATATCCCGTAGTTTTCGGTCCCTGGTCCCTCGGAGTGGTAGACAGCCACTCCGCCATCAAAATGTAGATTTAGTACTATGATTTTTTAGCTCCTTCCATCCTATGACATTAAGACTTTTTAAAATCATGTCCACTATGGAGGTTCGTGCATGGGTTGCCTGTCTATCTGGCTAATCGCTCATGGATATTCTGCCACCTTCTGTAATTCTGTCTCGATCGTCTTTTTTTTTAGATATATTACTCACTTCTGTGGGACAAATGCAAAATATTCATTTATATAGGATTCAGCTTTGATTTTTTTCATCGGAACTTTGATTTGCATCATTCTCTTTCTTATATTAGCTAAACCTATAGCTGCTTTTTAATTTTCTTTTCATATTTCCAGATACTCAAGATTGTATCCTTGATTTCTGCTCAATTCCTATGAATACTGAAGTAGCAAAAGATGGAAACTTTATCATTGCTTATAATGCACGTTTTCAAACTTCTTTAATTATACTTGCTGTCTTGTCAGAATCTACAAATCAGATGTGAGGTGTTTAATCAGCTCACATACTTTAAAGTAATTTGTTTACAAAATAATGTTTGGTATCGGAATGTTGATACATAGTGTAATATTGANAATCACTTGGAGGTCCGGCCCCCAGTCAATAAACTTAATCCTAATTTGGCCCTTCTTCAAAAAAAGGTTGTGCATCCCTGAGTATAGTATATTAGGATATTCGTATATCCCATGCAATTAGTTTATTAGTATATCACTATTAACCAACTTTGCATTGAATTTTCATTGATGTTTAGCCTAACAAATATTTTTCTAAAATAATAATCGTCACTATTGTACCGTTAAAAATTATTTTAAAATTATTTTATTGCTCACAAAACAAACAACCACTCATAATTAGAAAATGAAGCCTCATTTAAATACTGGCCTCCCTTCAATGGTCGAGCCATTGATGCCAGCTAAAACATGCAAATATTTAACAAAAATAATATTAAAGTAGCCAAGACATAGCTAAATATTGTAATGCCACATCACTAGCGGACATTTGAAATTTGCTGACTAGAACAGTCGATTAACCAATGTGACGGTTAATTGGGGGTCGGATAATCAATGCTCTACTGTATTTGTTTTTTGTATTATAAAAGAATTTTAGCATTTATTTTTTAACATATTAAAAAAAAAATTTTATGTAACAAATAATTACAAAACACAAGAACAGATACAAGGACAAGAAATTTTATGTACCAGTATCAAATTTATGATATTTATGTATCATAGAAGGCCAAGAACTCTTCATCACTGTCAATATCAGAAGCGTCATCATTAATTTCTACCGGTGTCTCCAGAAGGCACCAGTTATAGAGAAATTGAAGATCAGTATTAGTTTGATATTTGAAACCTGAAGATGAATGAAAACATTCATTTGAATATAAAATTTTAACTGCTCAAAGGTTGCATCTTTTGTAATTTAAACAGATTCTTATATTAAAAAAAAAAAAAAAACGTCAAAATGGCCGCGAAGTAAAATTTGTGTCGTGGCTTTCACGATATTTGACCACTATGCGTTGTGGTGATTAAGAAAACCATAACACGTTCTGAACGTTAGCTGATGCAACCACAATATAGGATCATATGACGCACAGTGGTTTGTAACTTTAAAATATGGATTCTAGGCCCAAAGCATTTTTATTTACAATTTTTAATGCCGAACAACATTAGTTCTACAAGTTTTCCTAGAAATTTAATTTTCATACTTTAAAAAATTTCAAAGAAAATATATGGAGAAAAATACACATTTATTTCTTTTGTTTTGCTAAAAAGTGCTAAAGGTCTAACTACATATACTTGTAGGTGCTTGATATACTATACATGATAAAATAAAAATCAACTGCTAAAGTTAAAAACCACTGTGCAACGGATTTATTATGGTTAAAAGCCACCACAAGTTCTGGATATTAACTAATAATGAGGTGATAAGAAAAAAAACTTTCTTTTTCATTATGATTTATTTATCTTCAATCATCTTATATACGCAGGTAACAAAATTATTCACCATATACAGAAATTTAACTTGGTTACTTTACAACATTTAATTATTCATGCATTTTATGTTCTTTGAGCAACATTTGCATTTTTATCAATACAGTAACTTTTACAGTGACACATTATAAACTCTTGCTTACTTCCAGATGTTAACGTGGTTGCTGAGCAAAGTGTTAATAAAGTTGAGCATTCTGAATGTTAATAAAGTTATTGTAAAAATTGTAAATTCATTACGAGCATAAAGTCGATCAAGAAGACTTGTTTCCTAATTGATATGAGCATTAATCCATCAGGTCTCTAACAACAGCTAAAACATTTCTGGGAGCTGCACGTCCTCTAGCAACATTAGGCACCCTAACTAAAACAATCGAACCAATTTCAACTACAGAAAATTACCCTAAATTGAGAAAACTCTCTGAGCTCGAGCTCAAGCTTGAATAAAAAAAAAATAAGACGAACGATTCTATTATGCAGATCCCTGTACTATTATTGTGAAATAATAATCAGAACAATTCTTAATTTATTGTTTTTGAAAATTTTAATAACTAAATGTCTTAGGATTTTTAGGCTTTATCAGAAATATTAATTTCCATTTGATATGGAGAGTGCCAATGGTGCAATGGCATGAAGGTTGAAAAAAGTGAAATCCTACTCAGTTGTAATATACAGTAATACTTTGGTTTTCATTGACTTCAGTTATCATCAGTTTTGGATTTCACCAATTGTTTTCGGACAGATTATTGACAAAAACTGAAGTATCACTGTACAGTGTACACCCATGTACTGTATCTAGCATCAATCTTCATTATTTCTTTAACTTCTGTTGTCCTATCCTAAAACCCTCCAGTTATAGGGAAAAACAGAATGGTTTTAGGCCAAAATTTTTTCCAGTGAACTTGTGGAGGGATGAGTAATAGCATCAGAACACAGAGTAGTTGATTTACCCTAAACATAAGACTACCCGAAACATCACTCTGAGAGATTGAAATTACTCTAGAAAAGGGTAATTATTAAAGATAATTCACTACTCATCACATCGGATTTACTAAAAAATTACGTACCAGAACCATTTACGATGTGATCACATAAAAAGATCGATAAACAAACGTTTTTGAACCCCTTCTGGGCTCTGCTTCAGGTTCCAAACAGTTTCTAGATAGATGTTCAATATCCATTAAAAATCCGTTCGATCAACATGTCGTTTAAAGTTTGAGTTTGAATCGTAAGTTTGAATGGATTTGTATAAATCCATTCAAACTTATGTGATCACACCATAAATGGTTCTGGTACGTAATTTTTTAAGAGTAATTACCCTAGAACAGCAGCACTGGTCAAGAACGAATACAATACAAACTCCGCAAGTGTTTGCAATGTGCCCATTGACAAGTTACAACCTATCCTTTGTATCATGATTGCATCAGCTAACATTCAGAATGTGTTATGGCTTTTCTTAATCACCACAATGCATAGTGGTCAAATATCATGAAAGCCATGATGAGAATTTCACTTCGTGGCCATTTTATTTTTTTTTCACTCAATGAGCGATTTCAATCTTTGAGCCTAAAATAAATATAATTACTTTTTCTTCTTGCTCTGCATGATGTTGAGTTCTTACATTTGTTTTATGTATAATATTTCTTAATTTTGTTAAGTAGTTATCCACTATATCAGTGGTTCCCAATTAGTTTTTCCTGCATACCACTTCAAGAAAGGGCTCAAACTCACGTACCCCTTATAGCAGAAATTCATATTAATCCATACTATTATTATAAATTCAAAGGTAATTCTGTCTGTCTGTCACCTTTTCACATCTAAACTGCTGAACAGGTTTTAATAAAATTTGGCACAGAGATAGCTTACATGTCAGAGATGGACATAGGCTACATTTTACTGCGAGAAAATATCTTACTCCCACGAGAAAATTCGATATAATGCGGGCGAAGTTGTGGGTAGACAGCTAGTGACAAATAAAATAAGTGTTTTTTACATTTATTACCTTTAAAATACAATTCTAATAATAATGAAAATAACATAAGGTTATTTAATTTTAATGTGACAAATGTGCACCATTTTCTTTGCACAACTTTGTAAAATCTGATTGCTTTTTGGTCAGCTTCAGTCTCAAGTCATCTTCGAGTTGAAGTCGGTGATGATGTTTAGTTTTCATGTTTGTCATGGCCGATAATCTGCTCTTGCAGAGGTATGTTGTGCAAAATGGTAATAAATATTTTATTGCCACTTTGCTGACATGATAATAATGTTAATTGTACAATTTTTGTTTCTTGCGCAAGAATTTCATTTAGGTATTGTCACAAATGAATTTTTTTAATGAAATTTCGAGAATATTTTGTTATAAATAAATAAATTTGTGCATTCCACATTATGTTGTAAATTGCCAAATTTTTAATGGTCCACCCATTATTTTTTTGATTGCTTCATCTCGTGCATTTAAATTTTAAATCAACTGATTTTAGATTTCCGCACATGCAATTTCGTGTACCCCTAGGGGTATGCGCACCACTAATTGGGAACCATTCCACTATATACAGTAGACCCCTATAACGCGGGTTCCTATAACGTAGATTCCTATAATGCAGCGAAAAAATTGCAACAGTATTCGTATAAAGATGCTAAAAGGGACACGTAAAACATCATCGCCGACTCGTGTCGCAACAGGATTGGTCGAATCTGGATCAATAGTAGACGAGCAGCCTAACTACTTACACGCTACGGAGAGTTTAAGAGGGTAAGTTGAGTTTACTATCGTCTGTACAGTATGTAAATTAGGTACCGTAAGTCTAATACAGCACTGTAATTTTATACATTTCTTATTCAACGGCCATAAAAATTATTTCTATTAATGATGTCTCCAAAGTTCAACGAATTTTTCGCAGAAAAATAACTTATCAGAAATTGCAGCAGCCGTTTGGTGCGCTGCTCCATGACAAAAACAAGCTTAAGCAATGGTGACGTCGAACGGTGCACACTCGGTAAGTAATCCTACAATTTTTTGTTTATAGCATAGTTTATACGGATTATTCCCAAAAAGATTATATGAGTTTTGGAAATGTTGAGTCAAATTAGTCAAGAATCGATTAATTTTATGGAAGAAAACCTTTCAAACAGCCATAGTCCCTAAACTGCATACATGTCGGGCTGTGATTGGCTCATGTATTTAAGGATTCCTACAACGCAAAATTCGTATAACGTGGAACGTGTCTACCGCGTTATAGGGGGTCTACTGTAATTTGTTCAAATTCAAATATTTCAGAAAGACTTATTATTAATGAAATATTCTTTCTTATTATGTTAATCTAATATAATTCTAAAATAAGAATAAAACATTAAGAAATGAAATAATATTAACTTAAAAAAAAATAATAATAAAAATTGATTATTAAGTTTTCAATGCAAACAGTAAATAGTACAGACAGTATATGCTATCCATTTTGAAATCAAATTTGTATCTCTCTCCTCTATATATATATATATCAGTGGCATGCAGTGACATTTAATGATAGGGAAGCTGTTCCCATAAAAGTTTTAAAATACTGGAAATGACAAAAATAAACAGTTTATTTATTTTAATTCTAAAATAGATAATTGACATGAAACAAAGATAATAAAAAAATAATAAAAACAAATGTTTATTATTTTTTATAAACTAACTTTATTTGGCAATTTTTTTCGCAAAGTCATTAATCACTTTATCATAAAAATCACTTGTTGATTCCATCAAAGTATTTAAAAGCTCTTTTTCTATTGAAAGCATTACTAGTAACAACAATCTTTCCTTTGAATGTTCCTCGCAAATTTTCTTCGTGGTTGAAAAACTGCTCAACAGACTCACTCGTAGATGGTACTGTAAGAATTAATGATATTAAAACATATAATTCTTTTAGTAGATCTTTGTTCAGACTGTCATTAATTATGTCTAAGAGTGACTTGCCATTAGTCTAGACATGAATATAAATAATATTGAAATTCACTGCATAATTTAGATAAATCAAAAAATTCTCCATAAAATTTACTTAATTTAAAGAATTAAAACTCACTTTGGAAAATTGTTTTTATATTTAAAATTATTAATATCTAAAAAGGATGAAATTCTAAAGATTTTATCAACATGTTATAATTAAATATAGCTTTGTAAAGAAACATACATAAAAATAACAAAATATTATTTATATTTTAAATCTTAAAACAATGCACTTAGTCAAATAACTCCCTATGAGTAGCTAATGGATAGAATTATTGGAAGCATTGTAGGATATTTTGGTGTGTAGCATCCACCAGCTAAACCATGTGATGTTGGTGCTCTGTAAAGCGGATTGTACGCATTTGCACACGTGCAAATGCGTACAATCCGGCTGCTTTATACCATTCAAATATTTTCACCATGGAAGCTGTCCCGTTTTCAACAATACAGCACTTCCATTGGAATATGCATATACGAATTTATTAGAATATACAATAGCAATCTAATCATTGTTTTTTACATATGTAGAAATTTGTAATAAAATACATAATGTGGTTATAATAAAATATTAATTTTAAGTAATTCAAAGTATATTAAAATATGAAAATAATTGCACAATGTGTATTTATATTTTAGAAAATACAAGAGAAGTGGCACTTCCTCAACTTCCATGGATGGCACGCCACTGATATATAGCTCTGAAGATGGAAATAAAATTAATATTTTCGGAATAATTTTAAGATATCGAAGCATTTTTAAAGTTTTATTTTAAGAAAAATTCCTATACCACCAAAAATGTTTTAAATCATTCTCTCTTAATTAAAAGTAAATAAATTATATATATATTAAAAACAGAACTTTTACATCACTATAATATACTTATACACATTGAAGCCATGTCTCTTAAAATAGAGGTTTTCAACTTTCCTAAGGCTGCAGAATACCATTTATATACATTTTATGCATTTGTATAAAAATTGATGAGCAATTTCACATTTACTATTCTCAGGAAACACTGAAGTAATAAACTTAATGTGTGTGAATAAAATACAATCATGAAATTGTCTATGAATGCAATAATATGTTGTAGTATTAAAATGCATTGTCATCAGACTTTGAAGTTTGAAACTTTGAGGACATACCTACACCACCTTAATTAGAAGTGGACAAAATTTTAGACATGATACAAAGCAAGTTAAATAAAAGTATTTAATATTAAATAATAATTTTAAGGACAATTTTAATAATGTAATTTGTGTTTCTAGTAAGGACTAATATACTGTTATATATATATATATATAAAGAATTAATGAAAACAACATTAAATTAAATGTAATATTTTGAAATGATAAATTTATTTTTACTTTAGTTATATGTTGAAATTTATTTTAATTGTGATATTCTATCAATACCATCATTCACATAATTTTCGATAGCATATTTTAAATTGACAAACTTATTAGTATGAATTTGAATTTATTTAAAATTCCTTTTGAAAGTATTTTGAAATTCAAACCGTAATTTTTTTTATTTATAAATAAATGATGAAGCAGAAGAGATTCGAACATATGCACAAAATTTCGTCTTTTCGCCACGTGCGCGACGATTGCATCAGATCAAATCGCACATAATTCCAACTAAATCGTATCAAAGAACATAATTTTGAATTATTACACGAAATCACGTACATTTAGTCTTAAATGTAAAAATTCCGAACTAAATCTAACAGTTCCCATGGACTAATTCATTCCTGTGCTTTAATGACCCATAAACTAATTTAGCCAGTTCAATGCGCCTATACTAACGTTAATTCTCACTTTAATAGTATAATACGAAATTTTGAATTTAAAAACTAAATAAAGAAATCTTAAGAAGTACTTAATTTTAAATCAAATTATATCGAGTAGCTTTTTTTTTATATAAGTAATTACCGAAGTACAACCGACCTCTTTTCCTTCTTCCCATCGTAACCACGTGGTATTAGCCTCCAGATCATCAGCTGTATCAGGTCAAAAACCCGAGCATGCGTACTTCGGTCACGTGATCAGATAATATACTAAAAATTTTGGTGTAAATTTTACAAATTCAAATTCTTTTAATATTTATCCAATTAATAAAGTAAATACAATTAAAATAGCAATAATGTGCTTATTTCTCAAAATAAATATTAAAAATACAGTTACATCGATTATTGTTAAAGAAATCATTACAAGAACTTTATATAAACATTTTATATGTATATTACTTCTATATTTCCAATCTCTGAATGGTAAAGGACCGTTTCGAGTTTCAAAAAGTAAATATAATGGCTCATAAAATTTTGACAAACGGAATGAAGGTATAAAAGAGAAAACAAATTCATCAGTAGTAGCCGCCATATTTAAACCGGAAGTCGGAGAACGCCCTCTATCATTAATATTAATTCTTAATAATTTTTTTTAATATTAAATATGTAAAGTACAGTACATATATTATTACTATATTTCAAATTATTGCTACATCAGTTTACATACAGAAAATTTTAGTATAATAGTTTTTTAATTCTAGGCTTTTTTAATTAATTAAAACGTCTTTCCGCCCTGTGGGAACTAAGATGGATCCCCCCCTTTTTTTTTTACAAAGCCCATTATGGGTTCGGCCGCGTCCAGAATGGGCACCCGGATGGTAATGGACAGGGCATATCCGGAAGACTACTCCCCGAAAATATCCCGTAGTTTTCGGTCCCTGGTCCCTCGGAGTGGTAGACAGCCACTCCGCCATCAAAATGTAGATTTAGTACTATGATTTTTTAGCTCCTTCCATCCTATGACATTAAGACTTTTTAAAATCATGTCCACTATGGAGGTTCGTGCATGGGTTGCCTGTCTATCTGGCTAATCGCTCATGGATATTCTGCCACCTTCTGTAATTCTGTCTCGATCGTCTTTTTTTAGATATATATACTCACTTCTGTGGGACAAATGCAAAATATTCATTTATATAGGATTCAGCTTTGATTTTTTTCATCGGAACTTTGATTTGCATCATTCTCTTTCTTATATTAGCTAAACCTATAACTGCTTTTTAATTTTCTTTTCATATTTCCAGATACTCAAGATTGTATCCTTGATTTCTGCTCAATTCCTATGAATACTGAAGTAGCAAAAGATGGAAACTTTATCATTGCTTATAATGCACGTTTTCAAACTTCTTTAATTATACTTGCTGTCTTGTCAGAATCTACAAATCAGATGTGAGGTGTTTAATCAGCTCACATACTTTAAAGTAATTTGTTTACAAAATAATGTTTGGTATCGGAATGTTGATACATAGTGTAATATTGAAAAAAAAAATTAAGTTCTTATATAATTTATGTAGTACAAGATAGAATTGTATTTAATTAATATATTTGTATATAAATGATTTTTATTAAATTTGGCTGTATACATATAATGTATTTTTTTTAATTTTGTTCCCCTAATATTTAGTTAATTATATAAAAATATATTTCTGTAAAATTTATTTAAAGTATTTAAGTGTGTACTTATTGTACAATAGAATCTTTTGAAGTCTATTTCAATTCAAATTATCCAAATTATCATTTGAATGAGAAAATATATTTTTATTTAAAAATATTGATTTATTTTACAGTGAACCTATTTCTTGTAACGAAAAATTTATATTATTTAATAAATAAATTACTTTAGAAAATAAATTAATAAAAATATAACACTTTAAAAGTTCTACACACACTAATTAAAAGTTACTTATGTTTTCCTCTATTTTCTTAAGTATAGACTTAGATTCAATATAATGATGTCTCCTCTAAGTCTGATACATTGTCCACTGAATTTATCATAGAGACTATGACACAATCTCATTCATAGGGACTTTGAAAATATATAGAGAGAAGTCACATTCTTCTATTCTCCTCGCCCCATTCATTATCTTTGATAATTTTTCCATCTTGAAACCACCTTTTCTATCTGAAGCTTGGTTGTCCTATGATTGGTTTTTCCAAGCTTCTAATTTTTCAAATGACTCTTTGCATAACAAACTGTTAATTAATTGTCATTAATTTTATAATATTGTGAAAATTCTGATATTTATATTACCTAAATTAGGAATTGTGAACCAACTAAACATTTCTAAAATAATAACTTTGATATTGTTGAGCTATACTGTATTTGCACACAATTTTAATTCTTTTCTACAAATTCCATCCTTCTTTTATGCTTTAAGTTGATTCTTTGTAATGTTTGATAAATATAAAATTTGTTTTACCCAAACAATCTTAATGTTTCTAAATAATTTGTATACAGTATATTTTAATTCAGTTCAAAATTTTATAATTTAAACTTGACATTTTATACAAGATCATAGTAAAGTCTTATAAGTTACACCTATGTGAGAGTGACACACAGTAATGAATGCAGCATGAAGACATAGGAAAATGAAAAAAAAAACTTATAAATAAATACATGAGAAATGACTGAGAACATATGAATGAACATATGAGAAATATACATTTTACTCTCTTTGTTACATTGTACATGTTAGCATTTTATGTTTTCTATTCATGTTATTCATGTATACAGGGTATCCTTTTGTACTAAATCAGTCATGCTCTACAACTTTGCAATTGATTTTTTTTACATACTGTGCATCATTTGAGTTAGGAGTGCTAAAGTCTGAATTTTACCACTAGGGAAACTGCAAGTTGTCATCTTGTAACTCGGTCACTTTACTATAATTGTACACCTCATATTAGTAACTATATTCAGATTTATCAGATATGTGGGTGTATAAGGACTTTACTATTTACCCTGTATATCTTTCCATTTTAAAAGATAGGATTTAAATGTTAAAAGAAATGTCAATAGTTACATTTGTATTTAATATTTTGTAACTGTTGTCATAAAATAATTCTCTCGGGAAGAATATGCGAATGTTAGAATGAGAAAAATTGTACAACTTGCCATATGGCAAGGGGTAGTCTCCAACATTTATAACACAGACCATACACAAATGTTTTGAAGATCTGATCAAAACTTAGTTTTTTTCAGAATGATAGTTATGCCAGCTTAAGCTTTACAGTTATCTAATATATTGTTAATAGTGAGACATTCCAAATATAAACACATGAGAAAAAAAGACATCAAAAGTGTACTAAGAACATGTGAAAATGATATCATTGAATTTCATTTCATCTTATAAAATTCTTTTATTATTACTTTAGATTTTAGTATATGGTATAAGTCAATCTGACATGGAAGTCAAGTATGTGGTTTTCAACTTAAAATTCTGATTTAGTCTGTACCTATTGCATAAGTTGATCCTCAAGTAACCTACTAATGCAGATGATGGTGCCATACATGATAATGTTAATGTCAACTAGGGCTTGAGTCTTAGCAATTTTTATGCTCCTGGAAATCCAGACTATTTTTCAAGTCCTAGGAATTCCCAGAACTACATAATTTCAATCATAAAAATTTATTTTTAGCTATATATAATATATTTCAATACAGTAAGACCCTGCTTAACACTGATTCGATATAACGCTATCTGCTGAAAGCCTTAAAAAGAAAAAAAAAGCTCAAAATTTACGCTGATTTAAATAGTCATGGCATTTCATTGATTCATATATAATACGATTATTTATGAACACGAACCAATCAGAAAAAGGTGTACTTTCTTTAAATCTAGTTTGTTTGGTGCCATTTTGGAAAAAATATAACATCATGGATGCCATGGGCAATATCAGTTTACTTGGCAAGAATTAACTGATAAATGCACGAATGAAGTGTGAAGAAGTTATGGCTGAAAGTATCCAAGAATGAGCGTTTTGCTCATTCTTGGATACTTTCAGCCATAACTTTGAGATGATGAAGAGCCTATTGCTGTATCGTTAGGTTGACCAAATCATCAACCTAATCAATACAGCAGGACTAGGAGATGTAGACAAGCAGGATATTGAGGAGTTACTGCAAGTTTCTGGTGAAAGCCTTACCAACGATGACCTTCAAAAATTGGCAGAACAAGGAATTCATCTAGAACTGGAAAATAGTGATTCTGAAAACAAAGAACCCAAAGAATTTATCTACAGATTTGCTTAGTAAAAGTTTGGTAATGATTACCAAAATTGTTGATCAAACTGTAGCGAATCATCCAGATTTTGAAAGGTGGTGTTTTGATTCAATCTCCTGCTACCGACGTTTGCTTAAGGAAAGAAAAAGAAAGCAACAAATGAAACTACATGATTTTATCGCAAAAAACAAGAATTTCAGAAGAGCCAGGATCTTCATCACAAAAAATGAACTTTACATTTTTGTGTGCATATGTTTGTGTGTTATTTAACATATATTATTATGCAAATTAATATAAAAATAACTTAAAATTGAAGTAAAATCTGTTTATTTTTGGTTGTGTGTTCCCCTATCCCTATTTACCCTGTGTTAAAATGACCTAGTTTAACACTTTCATTTAGCGCCTTGTTGTCTAGGAACACATCTCATGCGTTAAGCGGGGACTTACTGTACATTTTATTGCCATTTTAAATATGTTTATGCAATAATATAGATTTTCAAATAAAATTTGTTATACAGTAGAGTCCTGCAAACTCTTCTTAATGTCACCACCTCAGTCCATAGGTTACCAAAAATGATGAGTTTTATGGCATAGCGATAATGCTAGTCTAAACACCAGAATTTTCAGAAAGATTTTATATGTTCAAATTCATATATGCATTGACTATGTATCAATAACAACTATTTCTATTGTAGTTAAATTTTAATTTAAAAAGATATTGGCTGTTCAGTGGCTACTTTCTAATTAATTAATTAGAAAGTAGCCACTAATTAGTGACACTTGCATCATAGCATNATTAAATATAGCTTTGTAAAGAAACATACATAAAAATAACAAAATATTATTTATATTTTAAATCTTAAAACAATGCACTTAGTCAAATAACTCCCTATGAGTAGCTAATGGATAGAATTATTGGAAGCATTGTAGGATATTTTGGTGTGTAGCATCCACCAGCTAAACCATGTGATGTTGGTGCTCTGTAAAGCGGATTGTACGCATTTGCACACGTGCAAATGCGTACAATCCGGCTGCTTTATACCATTCAAATATTTTCACCATGGAAGCTGTCCCGTTTTCAACAATACAGCACTTCCATTGGAATATGCATATACGAATTTATTAGAATATACAATAGCAATCTAATCATTGTTTTTTACATATGTAGAAATTTGTAATAAAATACATAATGTGGTTATAATAAAATATTAATTTTAAGTAATTCAAAGTATATTAAAATATGAAAATAATTGCACAATGTGTATTTATATTTTAGAAAATACAAGAGAAGTGGCACTTCCTCAACTTCCATG